GTGTGATTTACAAGTTGTAAGAGCTAGAGAAAGAGAAAGAGGAGAGAATAGAGATATCGAGATCGTGATCCAATAAAAAACTCTGCGTACCAATGCCCATGGTTTAGCCACTGTTTACTTGGGATCCATTTCCAAAATTGGGAAAACAGCGAACGTGACTGTTTGTAAAGAGTGTGTGCTCTCCCGATGAATGTTCGATCGCTCTTGAAATCCCGAGGATTGAATTGCCGAGGAAGCGACGGATTTCCCGAAGGTCTCGCGAAAAGGTTTCGAACAGAACGAGAAAAAGAGAAGGCAAGAAGACGAAAAAGCGAAAACAATAGGCACCTCGTGATGAACGCGCGCATTCGTCGATCGAATGAGCGCGAAAAGCAAAATCGATACGATGCGGGATTTTCATCGAAAAAGAGAATCGAGCTCGAACTGTTCGAACGGAGCCGCCATCGGCGATGCAAGTAGTAACGACCCGATTATGGTCAGCCGTGGCTGACCGGCTGCGTTGTCGGACGCATTTCCCGAGGATCGCCGCGGGAATAGCTCTCTTTCTTTAACAATCCGCGAGCAAATATCTTTCCAACAAGTACTAACTTATAATTACACTCGCAAGACTGCTCTACTTTCTATGAAATATATCTTGGAACGTTCTCGATACGGAAGGTTGCGATAGCAGCAAAATAATCGGGGCGACTTGAAATAGCACGCAATAAAAAATTGTGTGTTTTAAAAACGATCCGCCGAAATTTTGTGTTACTTCAACATGGGAAATATGTTAAAGGTACACAAATATAACGTCGAATTAACATACTCACTTTGTCAACGTATATCGTATGAAATTTTCGTAACCTAAATTTTTCTGCAGTGATGGCCATGCTAATGATTTCACGCACGATAGACATATACCGAATTTATATTTTGTAAATATACTTTTATAGATTCGTACACAGCGAGAAGGGAGAGAGAAAGGTGTTAGGATTAAATAAACGTAATTAGTTTCATTTTCCCCGTCTGCTTCGCGACGCGCGTTATGGTCGGAATTTCCGATCGCGTTCGATAATTGTCGCTCCCCGTCGCCGATGGCACGCGGCTGTGTCCCGAATTCGCGTGTTTTCCCCAATTACACCCGTCGTCGCGCGACACATTTCAACGACGACGCCCGCACTCGGCGGGACGCGGCGCTGGAAATATTCTTCGCCTCGCGAGAGCCGCCTCGATCGACGACGAAAATATACAGCTTTGAAAACAGAATCGATCCCCGTGGCGCCGACGTTGAATTAATATTCCATGCATCGCCGGCATCGGGGGGTCGACGGACCTGGCGAAACGCAGGGTGCTATCAGGTGTTCGTCGTACACGACGGCGTCGAGGGGTCGTCCGCGACTCCGCTTCGCGGAGCGTGCACCGTAACACGCATCGGTGGAACGGCCGAGCGAGAACGGCGACGCGTAGCGTTACCAGCCGTGCGAGGACGGGGAGGAGAGAAAAGAGGGGTTGGCCGCTGGAGGGTGGAAAACTGCGAAAGAATAAGGAACGGTCGGTCGGAACGCGCGGTTAACTAGACGTCGGCTGAGCCGGGGGGGGGGGGGGAGGGGGGGGAAAAANACGAGGAGGAGGGCGAGGGGAGGAAGGGGAATGCGAAGATGTATATTTAGATACGCGGCTGATTGGATGAATAAATTAGCGAGACGGGAAACGGGTTGTTGTGCAGTTTAATAATCGAGTGAAACGCGTTAAGTAACGCGAGAGTTTCCGCGTGGAAGTAACGTCGACCCGGGATTTCTCGGTATCGCGGACAGTGGAGGAAAAAGGACGACGAGGAGGAAGGGGTTGCGGAGGGAGGGAAAAGGGATAGAGACGATGACGGGGCGATGCTTATTAAGGATGCAACCCCAGCTTTAATTCGTTTAAGATGACGACGTTGGCGATCCGGCCGCCTACTTCTCGTAATTAGATTCTTCGTGGCGCCGCGACTCCAGGTATGGGTGGGCAGGTCCGAAGTTTATATCGCCGCGCAGCTACAACTCGACCCCGCCAAAGTTAGGTGTTAACTAACTTGTAGATCCGTTGGATAAGAGGGGAAGCGGAGGGGGAAGAGAGGAGAGAGAGAAAGAGGGAAGATTCGGCGGAACCGAGTTTCGCACGCTTGCGGATGGGGGTGGTGGAACGTTCGGTCGAGCGGTCGCTCGTGCGGATGTGTACTTGCATGTTGTACACACGCGAGCCCGCGAGAATAATCCCGGGAAAATTGCCGCCGCAATTCTCTTAAGTTACGTAACACCGCTTGCATCCATCACCGTCGGAATACGAAATTTTCAGCCGAGAGTCATCGCGAAACGCTCAGATTCCGAGACGACCCGCTTCTTTCGGATTCTCTTTCGCGAGAACTCGATCCAACACTTTCGTGCGAAACTCGAAGAGGGCCTCTGCGACTGTGAGACACGCGGGAACGTTGTTCTTTAAATCTCTTCACGTGGCCGACCGACATATTCATCTATTTCAGTTCCAAGGTAAACAATGTGTGCACATTTCGCTCATTGAATATTATATCCAGAAAAAAATGCGCAAAACAAATAAAATATTGTAGAATGCATGCAAATCTATGTACACATAACCTTCCCCGCATATAAGCTACTGTCAATATTGAATATTTATAGTAAACATAACGTGAATTATAGATCAGCGGTAGAACTACAATCGGCTTATCGAGTAATTACTTCAATATGAAAACCTCGAGAAAGAGACTATCAAATTCATTTTAGTAAGAGACTTCATTAGAAAAATGCCGTGCTATTGTTTAACCTTTCGACTAATGTTTTAATAAACATGTTATTAAATTTTTCGCGATCAACCACTCGTCCCACTTGTGAGAACTTGCGTCTGAGAGATCAGCATCGGGAGTCGAAAGATTAATTTTGCATAATTCGACATACATACGGCCGAATATGATGTTAAATAACGAGGAAAATCAAATTTATATATATTCGTGTAATAATACGCTCAAATTTCAGAAGAACGAAGAGAGAGAGGTATGTATAATTCTATAAGTAATTACTAAAATTCGCCACCTAATAGCAGAGATGTTAAAAGGAATCCTTGCGACCTACAAAGGCCACAATACCACCTTCTCCTCTATTAATTGCGCACAGATAACTTTAATAAAGCTCTTATTGGCATTCTTCCACCTTCTGCGATTACCACCCAAAGAGCCAATTTGACTCGCATAGAAATCTCAAGAAAAGAATCCAACGGGGCAATCTGAAATTGCGAAGAAGGAAGAGATCCCTAAACGCATATAAAGTTTTCCGACGTTCCCTCTTTGAATTTCCGATCGAATTCAAATCAAACCGCCGATGAGGCACGCATCGCGGCCTCCGATCACGGATCGAACGGGCGCAGCGCACGGCCCATCGAGAGATTCGACGCGTCTCGTGTCATTAACGTCCCTGCCGTGGTTAATACATGAATCGGTTCGCCAAGGGGATCTAACGCGACACGACCGGGCATTAGCGTTTGCTGAATACCGAGGACGAGCTATTAGGCGGCCGATAAACCTCCACAAACGAAACGTGAGCGCGGTTCATTCTGGACAGCCACGTCTCATTGATAGCTCTGCGGGTGGTTTAGGTTTGCCAATGTATTAACGTTCCCGCATCGCCGACGCGTTATTGTCCCTCCTCCGCTATTCTCCTGTCGGGACGTTATCCAAATATGATTTTCGCGAACAAAGAGAGCGAGAGAGAGAGAAAGAGAGTGGAGGGAGGGGAGAAGGAGAGAAAGCTCGATGCAAAACGCTCTCAGATCGCACATCTTTCTTCCTCGTAGTCCTTGGCAACATACGACTACAATCTGGCGAGGGAGGGACGCCCCTAATACCGAGGCAGGGATCAACATTAATCGAAGGAAGCAGCCCGACGCTTCCGGACGCTCCGGCCACCCCATGAGACATTTCCTTCTTCCGCGTCCGATGTTTCTCAATCTCTGTGCGGAATTTTACGAGCGAGCGAGCTTTCTCCTCCCGTGACTTTTGCCGCGCGACGTTAGTCGTAACACGTGGGAGCATTCGCGCCGGATATACAGGATTTTTCTGAAACTGTACCATAGCAACGTACTTTGAAGCTTAAGCTGGGGTTGGAGATCCTAAAAAAAAAATGTTGAGAATACTTTTCGAGAGCTGGTAAAGTGGAAAGGACTGTCTTCAACTTCGAAAAATTAAGGCAGTAAGAAATGTTCTATTAAAAACGGAAAATTAAATTGAAAAATAAGATTTAATTTGGCATCTGAATTAACGCCGCGTTTTTCATGGATTTGTTTCCAACGTTTCGTCAACATTTCAGTTCACTTCTTCAGGGTGAGGAAGGATTTGAACCGTTTCATGTTTTTTTCATTTGAAAAGATCATATTTTTCCTCATTATTTACTTAACCTTTATTTTCTGGCAAGTGTATGCGTGAAAGTTCAGTAAAATATCAAATATCTCTATTTGCAATATCTGAAATGACCGCTTGATCCTTTTAATAAGCAAGAAATATCGGTACGTCCAATATTAACTGAGCGACGAAATCACATTTTTAAGCTAATTTCAGATGGAGCGTACTTGAACAGAATTCGCAACTAAACGAACTCCGGTGGAGAGATATTAAATATTAAAAGTTAAAACGTTGAACGGTAAATAATGACCAAGCTTTCCACGACATTTTTCACGACGTATCAGGATCCCGCGCTTGATTGGCACGCTGTACCGTACAGTTGGGGTGCACCCCGCGCATTTGCGCAGATCAATCTCCGAGAGAAAGGGGGGAAAACAATCATATAAATATAAAGCCCCCCGACGTATAAATACTTTTCCGAGCGCGACTTTATTCGCTCGCGAGCAGGTGATCGCCGGCGAAATATATTGATTCAGCGCGTCGCGCGAACGTACGGCGGAGAAATTGAAATCGAGGAGGGTGGGGAGAAGAGGGGGAGGGGAGCGCAAAAAGAGAAAGAAAAAACAGGGAGACTTACGGGTTCCATCGAAGCGCGTGGCGATAGTATCCAAGAAAGTGTTCTGCGGCGCGAGGAGGCCCTTCCTGGCCGGCATTGGTGCCGCCCCACCGCGCTGCGAAGCGCACGAGCCTGTAAAATGCGCATAAACAAATTATTCATGTTATATGCGATGTTATTCGCGAAATGCGGTCGCAGCCAGCTATTTGCCAATAAAGCACAGTCGGACAAACGCGACTGCATGCGCGCGCGCTCGCGCTCACTCGCCGACCTTTGTGTGTTTTAACAAAAACCTACCTTCGGCTCTATATTAAGTTGCGTCCGCGCGAGTAACAATGAAAAGCGCACACACACGTGCGAGAATGTGTGTACGCGCGGAATCGCGGAGATTCGCAAAAGATAACTCGTTAGCCGGGGGCTCTTCGTTACCGGATCATTAACGGAAGTACGAAGGGCCGTTGTAAATGCGTGTTTGTTCGCCGATACTCCACGGATATTCTCTCTCTTTCTCTCTCTCTCTCTCTCTCTCTTTCTCTCTCTTCCGGAAGCGATCCGATCGTTCCTTGTAGTTCCCCGTAGTCGAGGAATCATTGACCGTTCGCGTAGACGAGTAACCGGGTTAGTACCGGCGCAACGTGCCTCGCATATATCTCGGAAATATATATGCAAATTGGCCGCTCGCGCATTATAATGCGCGCGAACCTTGCAGCACTCGTATTTAATGAATCAATTATGAATTAAATGAAAACAAAGAGAGGCAAAGAAGGAGAGAGAGAGAGAACAGCGCTTATTTCATTCTAGAACAAGCCTCCCAAGGACAAGTAAGATGTATGATAAAATCGGAATGAAACAACATTACATTCAATTTAATTGAAAGTTATATTAATAAAATGATAATGATTCGAAAGCACGAAGAAAATAAAGGGAAATAAGTCCGCGAAAAGAATAAGCTATATAAAAGAATAAATTTAAGCTGTACATACAAAATGAAAGAGATTAAGTTATAAAGAAAATTAATTTATATTTAAAACTGAATCTGTAAAGTAATTTAGCGTGTAAGGTGAAAAAAATGTTACAGTTCTGGAAGTTACTGGCACAAATCACCAGAGAGAGGAGGACAGCGAATGAAAAAGAAAAAAAGAGAGAGAAAGAATGAGAGACAGAGCGAGAATGAGGCAGAGGAAAAAAACAAACCATCGACGTGTTCGCGCGAAGCATCGATTCTTACGTAATCGTCCGCGACGATGAATGAAAATTGCCCGCACCGGACGGAACCGGCGACGTGCGGCGCGATTTCCGCTCGAGTCGCCAAACGCACGTCGACATCATGCGAAATAATTCGCGATCAGCAGTTTTACACGCGGTCGCGTCGTCGTACTCCTTTTTTATTTCCTTTTTTATTTTTTCGATATCCGACAGGGGGGAATTTGTTGCAATCTCGCGATCGTGCGCGCGTTTAAAGAGTGATAAATATTCACAAGCGTGTCGTTTAAGTGTTATTTGCGCTCGTAGAAATTCCGCTACTATCCGCGTGGGCACGCTTAGTATAAATTATTCTGGCCTTGCGTGTGCGTGCGCGCTCGGCTGCGTGTGTGCGCGAACGCTATTTAATAACGCTTTCATAACGGCTACGTGAGCCTCATATAGCTCGGTGATTTTTCGCTTTCAACGCTGAATACGTGACACAGACTCCAGCCGTTTGGCGCTAATAACGAGGAATCGTTTACTATCGTTCACCCATTCCGTTTCAGAATGTCTAAGCTGAGAGGAAATTTTTCGGTATCTCCGTGACTGCAATCGCATAGCGAAAGATTATAACTAGGAAAACTATTCCATATCAGAGTTTATTGATTCCAAAGATCAGAATTTCTTTAAGACAGGGCATTTATGCATTAAAATCTCAATGGGAAAAGTGTATTCGAGCAAATGGAGCGTATTTTGATTAAATAAACAATTTTTGAAAAAAGATGCAATTTTATATATTCACTTAAAAATCTGACATTTCATACGCACCAACCTAATATTTTTACAAGTGTTACACACAATCGTGTGTATATTGATGTTGCTGGATCAGCGAAACGATACAAATCGTGTCGAAAATTATAATAATTTTGGCAGAATTAGTAGCGATGATAATAAAGGAAAAAGTGGTGCTATGGATCCCCATTTACATTTTGTACAATAACTTTGTCAACAATTAATATTTTTAATTGAGAACTGAACGATTAGATTTGTCCAAATATTGTTCAATCGATTTTAGATTCAAAGTTGTGGAATGTTTATTATTTAGGACGTTATTTATAAAAATATGGCGGCACTGCGTAATGGGTGGAAGAGAAATAAGGTTGGCCTTTAAATAAATGGATTAAAAAAATCGGTTTTGTTTAAATTAACACAGAATGTTTTATTACAAAATTATATATGTATTCGAGGTAAATTCTTAGAAGGAATAACAATGAATATAACCGTGAATTTTTAATGTAGTACTGATTTACTTGTCAGAAAATACATTCTTTAAAGAGACAGCAGTACAGTGTAAATGGAAGTGCAGCAGTGAACTATAGGTTAGAATCGACTTATCGAATAACTACTTCGATATGAACAAGAGGTCGTCTTATCAGCACTCTTAAGTGACATCAGCAAAATGCTGTTGTTTTTTTTTTCATAACTCGAAATGTGTACAGCCGAATGAAATGTTAAATGATGAACAAAATACTGAAATATATATATATTCATGTGATAATACACTCAAGTTTATAAAAAATGAAGAAGTATGTGTATAATTAAATGATAAAATGTACCTTGAAAACATTTTGAAATGTTCAAAAGTAAAGATGCATTATAACAAATACTGGTTATTATATATTAGCATATTAGCGCCACTATGTAACGTTAGGCTATAAAATAAATGATTCCATAAATAATCACTAGAATTTACTACTTAATAGTGGCGATATTAAAAGGAGCCATAACATCTACAAGGACCATAATACTGCTTTCTCTTCTAATAATTAGTCATAATTTTGCGTTGTCTAATAACTTGTCATCATAAATATAAGATGTAAATATATATATATATATATATATAATTGGAATGCTGCCAATAATAGAAATATCAACAATATTAATGTGAATAATATCGATACATTTTATCTGATATTTTTTGTGTATCCATATCTTTATTAACGATACGTATCGATACGGAAACGTTGTCCAATAAAGATATCAATATTATTATCATAAAATAAATACTTTTGCCCGATAATTAACTTTTTATTTTATTTAATAATTAATCTTCTTTCTCTCCGTCCATTTCCTCCAAGAGAATTGGCGGATATTCGATAACACCCGTTCGCAAAATGCCCTTCGCGTGAAAAAGAGAAACAAGAGCAAAAATTAAAAACTGAGAACGTAATATCGCGCAATGTGGGTGCGTATGTATGCGACAAACACCAATATGTTTCAATAAAACGCACGGCGCAGAAATTTTGTATAATTTTTACTTCAGCAGATTAATTCGCGGATATTAAAATTCGACTCGTTCGAGAGCCGCCGAAGTCTCGCGAGCCGTCGTTGGGAAAACACTTTTTCACCTTCTGTCACCGCTGTCTGACATTTCAGGCGTGGAAATTGCCGGTCGTTCGAGCGCGCCGCGTTTTATCAGCGGCGGTTTAAGTGACGGTATTAATTATTCGCGTGCAGCGTTTGCTAAAGCAGATTGACGGCGCGGACGAGCGAGCGAGCGCACGCGCGCGCATAATGCGCGGCGGAGATTGCCGCGCCGAGCGAGAAATCACGTTTGATATCCGAAATTATTATACTCCGCATTATTGTAGGTCACGTTTTGTTGCGCGGCCCGGCGCTTTAATGATCCGCACGCTCGCCGTGGCTTTCAGACGGGAGCGAGTTCTCGCCGGAAAATTCCACGCGCGTCCGATGCACCTCGCTTTATTTAACCAAGAAGTTTTGCGCTGTTCTAACGATTTCACTGCTCGCCGAACTCACCCAAATAAAACTCCCCTGACGAGCGACGGTCGGGGGAAGCTCTGGACGATCGCTGGGGATCGCTGGAAATCGCCGAAAACCCAACGCTACTTTACTCGTCGTCCGACACATCGCGATGCGCGGTCCGCGGACCAGTATTGCCAACTTAGCTTATTTCCCGCCATTTCTAGTTTATTTGAATATCAACTACGGTGCAGAAGTCACGTTTCAGCTGATTTTCATTTTGGCGTATTTTCTTGGTCATTTGAAAGTCGCAACGGCGGGATTTTTTTTCTCTAAAATAAGTCAGCTTCCTTTTTTTAAATTGAATTTTAATTAGACCCCATTATGCACGGAAAAAGGTTAATTTCAAATCAATGATGGATATTCTCATATGCATATAAGCAAGAATATTATAATCTTCTTAGAAGATGTTTCAGTCTTGACTTGATTGAATTTGTATCGATGAAAGTATTACTCGTACTCATTCAAGACGAAAAATCTCCCAAGGATATTATAATATTCTTGCTTATACATAAAAAATACCGATCATTGATTTAAGACTATTTCTTTCCGTGTAGTATTCATAGTCAGATCTCGTGAGCAACGCAGTAGCCAATAAACTTTTAGCTTTTATGGAAAAACGACACGATACGCGACGTTCCATCCAAACTCGTGTATTTACTTTATATTCGCATAATAAAGCCAATTACATCCGCGAAACTATGTATTTTTTTCTTTAACTTTTCCGCGCACTCCCACATAAATACAGATCGTACGGTCATTCACGGAACGGTAGCAACATTTTTTTTCTATAAACTTTGCAACACGCCCGCGCCCAATAAGAGAATTCATTTTTTCAGAAATTTTCAGGAGGTATATTTTCCAACTGGACGCTAGATGCGTTGCGAAACTCATCGAAAAAAATGCGTTGCAACCGTCCTGTGACTGACCGCACGCGTATTTATCTGTGGCTTATTTTAGAGAGGCACACGGAAAAAAACTCGGTCGAATTTATCAGACAGTGAACGAACCAAACGTGTTTCGGCCGAGGGAGAGAAAATCTCTGACTATGAGAATCAAAGATTCTCTTAAGAAATTCTGTTCCTTTCAGCCAAAACGCGTTTATTCATTGTCCGGTAAATTCAACCAAACTTTTTCCTCCGTGCGTGTACGACGGATTTTAACCAGTTCAAATTGGCAACATTATTTCAGAGAATCGCTGGAGATCACTTGCGACCGCTGAGGAAATCGCTGAGAATCACTGTTTTACTCAATGCTCGCGGTGTTGCGAAGGTGCGCGAGGTCGCGGATCATAGGGCAGCGTCGCTTATTTTTCAAGAATCTGCGCGGACAAAGAAACACGTTGCTCATTTCGCCGTTTTTCCGTCCGTTCGTACGCTCGTTCACTCGTTCGACCAACAGGTTGCTTTTGTCGATACGCGGAGGACCGCGGGACCTTCCGCAAAATTTCACTGCACCGTTACGTGCTTCGGTTGAATTATCATCGACACCTCTCACATCCCCTCTCCGGGAACAAAACGCGACCGAGTCTCCCCGCGCGCGCGTGTATCGCGTTTGTAATAAAAATCCTCATGTAATCGAGCGGAGCGATTAACCGCAATGGGACAACGTCAATGTTCCGCCGGCGCAAATACGTACACGAGGAAGAATCTACGCGTGCACTGAAAAGAAGAAATTGCAATTTTTCGAAATAAACGTTTCTTGTGGCATTTTCTTCGATATTTATTGATTCGAGAACAATTTGACCGCGATGACGGAATAGATATTTTTGTGGAATATACATAAGTTTTCCTGTTAATTGGTTCATTTGTTAGAAGTAAGATTTTATTTTGCCGTATTTAATTAAACGTTTATTTCTGTGAAATAAACCTCATATTTCACAGATAAATTTTTAAGTGTTTTCCCTCGGTACGAGGAGAATTCAACATTCGCAATTATAATCGCACATTCGCCGTAATTGCAGTCCGGAGGCCGGCTTTCCTGGTAAACGCCACTACGGCGTGATCGACGATGACTTCGCATGCGCTATTGCAGCTATTATCTTCTGATCGGAACAACGAGAAATATGAAAGTCACTGTGAAATCCGCGACGAGGTCGACAACGTTCCTATCTCGATGTACGATCGGCGTCTTGTAGAGTGCACTATTCTCTAAACGGAGAGTTATTTTCAGCCTTACGCATAATGCGTAAGATTGAAAATCGCACAAGCACAGGGAGAAAAATAATTTGTTGGTGCAGTGAATTTTATGCTGTCGCGATAAAATCTGCCCGTTACTAGATGGAGCAGCAAAACGATTTGTTAAGAAATACTAATTGCCATTCACTGAATTATTCTGTTGGATCCACAGATTATTTTGCCGTAAGAACAAATTAGTAAATGTAGGAAAACAATATTTTTTCTTTAACAGCAAATTAACATGTCACGAGAACAAATTTATTAGAATTTTTCTCTCCTGGCAACAAAACTGTTTCTGCCCTAATTACGAATAAATTGGCTAATTTGGTTATGAGAATTAAATTTGATTACTGTTACAATGAATACGCTGTAGCAACAATACGATTTCGCTACAACAGCAAAATTGTTTTTTTTTTCCGTATATCCATAAAATGCATAAGGTTGGAAGTGGCAGAAGTAACTCCAGTTATAACGATAGGGTCGATAATGGCTCTAATTATAATGTTTTCAAGCTTATGTGTACGTGTGAAAGGCTGAAAATTGTGTAATGGTACAGGGGTAAAAATAATTTTGCTGCTGTAGCGAGATCACATCTCGTCATTATTGCATATTCGTTGCGATCAAATTTAGCTGGCACGGCCAAATTAGCGAATTATTCGTAATTACAGCAGAAATAGTTTCGTGTTGTCAAAATAGAAAAATATTGCAGAGTGAATTTGTCTTTAGGACACGTTAATTTACTACTGTAGAAAAGATAGTGTTTTCCTACATTTGTTAATTTGTTTTTACAACAAAATAATTTGTATAATAATTATTACTTCGTTTCATTTCATCCCACCTGTTAACGGGAGATTTCCCCTTTAATACGATATCTCAATAATATGAATTGATATAATACTATAAAAAAATTACATGAAATATAAACATCATGACAGAAGCTAGTAATATTGAATTACCGCAACAAGAGGAAAGCGGGTAATGGACAAAATGCTTAAATAATGATCGATCTAAACGCGGCTGATGACCTGTGAAATACATCAATCAAATCGTTGGAAACGTTTCCTATCACGGACAAATTGTCACTCAGCTTAGCTGAAAATTCCCCATACTGAGTTCTATGCTCCTCTTCGCGAGACAAACTCTGAAAGGTCCGACAGGAAAACTAATCACATACAATCAAGCTCGAGATACCAGTACACGACAAATAATGAAACCTCACGATCCTGTACAAAAACAAGAAATCATCGAATGCACTCCTACCAATGCTCTTAAAAAATCACTTTGCCGCTCCACATAGTAACCGACAGATTTTCCTGCGAAAACGTAAAATTCGCTGCGCGCCGGCGACTCGTTTCTCCCCGTGCGAAAAACGTTTAATCCGCAGAACGGCACACAATAACGCGCCGACTGCGCGATGATCCGCTCGTTTTTCCCCGCGTCGGCGAGAGCTCGACCGGCATTGTCCCGTGACCTTCCAGCGACAACAAAACATCGTCGCGAGCATCGTCGCGCAGGTGTAACTTCTCACGTAACGGCCGGCGTTTAACGACCGCGAGACACCGTGGCGAGAAATTACCGAGCGATCTACACCGCGCCGGGAAAAGCTCGCCTCCCCCCCGAAACTCACCTTGTGGAGAAACCGGTCTCGCTCACTGCTCGAGCATATCCCACCCGGTCCGGCACCCTCTCGGGGGAGATCGAGTGGAGGCTGATCGTCGCTGAGCCGGTTCCGTGCACTCGTCCGCACTACGGGAGGATGGCAGCGGTAACAGCAGCAGTAGCTCGGGACGCGCACCGGCCGCGCGAATCGTCCGCTGGCAATCGCGTAACTGACCGAGCCGGGGGGAGAGATTCCGTCTATCCTGATGGCCCGGGCTCCTGGCTGACTTGCGCCCCTCGCGTCGAAGCGCAACATGTGGTAAACCGTGCTAGGTACAGACACACGCGAGCCTCCCGGTCGGTGAGGGCACGAGCGTGTACCTCCGACGGGAGCGCCGCGCCGACCCCTCGGCAACCCTCTCTCTCCCTCCGCGCAGAGGGAAAGGGAACGAACAAGGGTTGCGCACACACGCGCGCGCGCTCCGACGAGCTACTAGCCTTTTGCGCGCGCACCTGTGTCTCGGAAAAATCTAACACGGTCATCGGGAATATCACCCGCTTGAGTTTCATCTTTTTCGGGGGGAGGGGGCGGCTGTCGAGAGCGCGGTTTTTGCTCGCCGCTGATCGGCGACGCGAGGAAATGTTCGTCGGGCGATATCTGCAATTCGGGGCGAGATTCTATTTGTAATTTCGCGTGCCGCGCGTGTAACGTGGAAAACGGCCGAGCCCCGAGAAATTGGAAACTCGGAGGGCTCTCGTTACTTCCGAATGAAATTCCGATTCAGAATCGCGGGCTCGCGAATTGCGGACCGCTGCCGGGAGCGAGGTTAATCCCGACCGATTGCGACCGCGAATCTTCTCCGGCGAGGAGCGCTATCCAATGAGCTTCGTTATGGACATCTAGGTGTACAGTAAACCACGGCAGCAATCGTAACGCGCATCGTGTAATTGGATTATTAGTATTCTCTGCAACACGTTTCTGGACATTAACGCAGAGCCATTACAGTGACAGATTACCGCTTCGACTCGACGTTCCCGCTTCTTTGAATAATCGATGAACGACGAATCAATAATGCGTGCGCCCGGGAGATCCTAATAACTCACTTATCTAATCTTCATCGGACCATCGTAACATCATATCGCACCAATATTCTGTCGTATCGGCGTATCGTCATACGATCGTATCGCACTGGTCAACAGGTTTCGCATCATAAATTGCATCTTTTTGGAACTTTAATTTTTTCTATTTACGTCGTTTTTCAATCTTGCGTTAAATTAATATGAAAACATGAATGTGTGACATTTGAAGTATTTTAAATTCAACACAACATTGTTGCGTACTGCGTGTCTACTATTTCCAGTGTACGCCGAAAGAAAGCGAGGAGAATGAATTCCACCCGGTGCGGGCGAGCGTCGCGTCCGAAACTTCCGAACGTTTTCCACGCCATCCGAGGGGCCACGAATTACCTCCTTTTTCCGCGGAAACGCGCAAAAGTTGGGCGCGAAAATCAGCGTGACTCCGAGACGAAGTGACGCGACATGACGGATCGCTGGCTACCCTCTCACCCTTCTCATCCCTGCTTATGCGGCGGCAAGTTGCGAGATGGTACATCCGTTATTCCGTTCACGGCGACGTCGTCGCGCCGCCGTTCATCCGTCCATCCTCGAGAAGAACGCGGGTCGCCCCCGCGTGCCGCCGATATATTTTCGTTCGTCGTTTCGGCGGCGTTTTACGACCACCGTTACGAGAGCGGCTCGACTCCGCGCGCTTACCTTATTTCCCAAGGCCGTGGCAACGGCGCTACCCGAGTAAACACCCTTCTCGCTTTTAGACGAGAAAATCGGATTTCTTATGCAATTTTTTTTCTCCGCGAAATATCGGGTATCAAGCCGCCGTGGTGTATTTGCGCGCGGACGGACGCGCGCACGTGTACGTTCGCGTGTCGGACGCGAGGTGGAACAACGACGAGTTGCGAGATATCGAGGAGGAAGAAAAAAAGAAGAAAAACGCAGCGCGGGGGTGAATCGACTTTTTCGCGCACAGAGGTCGGCGCGCGCGCGCGCGCGTCCCCCCCCCCTGCTGCCGCCTCGTGCGCGGTCTATATTGAATAAAATGTTGCCGTAGGTCAGTTTGATGGTATTGTATAAAGCGTTCCCGGCCGAAGAGGGTCGATGACTGTATTCGCGTGCTAATCCTTCATGAACGGGTCGCGGCAATCTGCAAGCGTTCCCGATATAGATCGCTCGTCGCGAAAGGAAGAAGAGGAGGTGAAAAGGGAGAAAAAAATATGAGAGAAAAACAGGAGAGAGAAAGAGAGAGAGAGAAAGAGGGGAAAAAGAGGCCGGACGCGATTTCGAGCCGCGAAGCCTTCGGTGATTATTTCTAATTTTAATACTCGAGCGATTCGCAGGCAAGATGAAGATTCGGATATAGCGGGCGCGCTAGCGTACGTCGGGAAACCGATTAGGGTGAAGCACCACTCCGTTGCGTCGAGTCGAATTAAGGGCGGCTGGGTGATCTTACGGGGATAAAATATTGAGAGATCCTTGTGTGTGCGAACGAGAGGCTTCGTTCCATCGGCGAAATTCGACGCGCTGTTACGTGCCGCCACGAGGATCCCTGAATTTTTCCCCCTTGGAAACCTTTTTCTCAGAACCCCCGGGCATTTTCAAAAGCTCGCTGCCGAGACCCGCGTCTGGTTAAATAATGTAAACACCTGGCTCCGTAGATCTCTTGTAAATTCCGAACACGTTAAACATATAAACGGCCGTAGTTTCCCGAACACGGGAAAAACGAATCGGCTGTCCGTGCAACTGAGATTTAATTAGGCTTAACCAGACCTAGTTTTTAACTGTGGGAAGCTATTTCTTTTCTTCCGTACAGAAATTGAACTTCGTGGGTGTCACGAGGTAGTGAATTTGTGTTTATAACACCGCTACTAACCAATAATGTAAAGCTTACTACTATTAAAAGCTGGATAATGGCTAGATAAATAAGTTAGCTGATGGTTAAACGAAAGAAATTACAGCTATGATGAAAAGAATCACAACTAATGGCCAGGCAGTAATGTAAAGAACTAAATTCGAGATTAAATGGATTCCTAATATTAAAGTAACGCCAAACTTTTCACCACGTAGGAGTTGATTTCTGAAGTCGTTTTATGAAGAAATGAACGCGTGCTCATACGAACTTTTCATCACAAAACGACCGTAAAAGTTAATTCCTAAAATACCAGACGGTATTTAAGAGACACCCTGTATATTCATTTATTCACTATGACGGAGCATAGAAAAAGACCGTCTTCAGAGTAATTTTTCTTTGCACACACGCACGAAGAAATGCGAATTACCGGGGGGGGGGGGGACNCGAATTGAAGAGAGGCGCTGACCGGCGCGGTCCGACGGATACGGTAATCGGGGTATATTCGGGTTAATCAAGAGCGATAGCGGTGCCGGCGGGTGTCGTTAACCCCGAGGAAATGGATGCTTCTGATCCATCAGCTAGAATCGCTTCTTACGTCGCTCGAAGGGATGATGCATCGTCGTGCGGGGCGTCCCGTCGCGTCGCGTTCTTAGATACGACGAAGAGATACACACAGGAGATGGGTGTGATGGTACCCACCACCACCACGTCGAACGGAGTATCTCCGTGGCGAGGGAACAAGCTGCCTATGCGCGCAACAACTACCTCGGCTACGAAACCGCGCTCTAAGAATATCGCGCCGGTTCGGCCACCGCTCGCGATTATGAAGCCGCGACCTAATTTTAAAAAGCCGCGTTCCCGAGGCGCCGTCGACTGGAAGCCCGCATCTCCTAGCTCTTTCGCGGACAGACCGCGCCGCGAGACCGCCCGTGAAAATTCATTTCTCCCTCACCCCCCCTCCCCTTCCCTTAACTCGCCGCCTCGCGCGCAAATATTTTCAGCGAATTCCAAAATGTTTTGTGCACTTGCGTCACAGCGTCCAAAATCGAGGATATTCTGCACAAACTTCCGACTGATCTGATCGACGATCCTAAATCGCCATCAGTCGAGTACCTCATTATTGGATGACGCAAAGTGCACAGCTGGAAATTGCCGTTGGTAATCTTTGCCCGTTGCTCGTGAGAGTTAGTTCATTCGGAGAGTTCGGTTGCGAGTCGGAAAAATACTCACGATAACGTTGTAGTAACCACAGACAGATAAATAAATCCTCCCTGTCCGAGTGTCGTTTCTTGGTCGTCTCGCGATTCTTGTTTTCGTGTCTGCAAGCCGGAAATCATACTCGCGTCACGAACCCGCTGTAACACATGTCAACTCGCTTCCGCTCGAGACATGAACTTTGACTTCACGTCGAAAAAGAGACAGATAGATAGATAGAAAAAGAGAGAGAGAGAGAGAGGAAGAGAGGGAGGGAGGGAGGCTCGCGAGTACACCGTGGATTTGTTGTTCGTTTTCGGAACGTTTCGCGACGGGAATCGATGGAAAATTCGCTGAAGCGTGCGAGGGAAGATCCATCGGAGTTGGATGATACAAACAGTGGAGTATACAACGAACAACGAGTAGTTACGAGAAACACACGGGGGTCCATATATAATCGATACTCCCCGGTACTTACGTCTCGGTAGGCAAACACGAAGAGGCGAAGACGAGAAAAGCCGCGGTGAGAGGGCGGTGGAAAAACGAGAGCGAGAACGCGACCCGATGGGTTTCGCTTCGCCCGAAGAATAACCGTAAAACTAATAAAAATTCACCGGCGCGAGCGGCCCCATTCTTGAGTTGCGTCTTTCGCAATTTGTTGCGCACTTCTAATTGTTCTCCCGGTGTTCTCTCTCTTTCTCTCCTTCTTTCTCGAGACAATAAGCTCTGACGAGCGAACCACCGCACAGTGATGCATTGTATATGGAGGTGCGGAAGAAACTTCATATCAGATTCAGAATCTCTTGATATGCTTTATAATCTCATTCCTTATACTTTATGATCACATTTCTCATCTTTCATCTTGGAATTTTGAATTTGCATGTAGAGCAATATTAAGACATCTAACATAGAAGTGAAATAAGAATAACTAATTATATTAATCTATTCTTATAACTGTTACAATCGTTATAAAAGGATCTTATAATTTCTTATATGTATATTCAATAATAATTATTAATAAATATTAGTGTAGAAAAATGATTATATCACATATAAAGTAAAACTATGCACATTTGAAATACATGAGATATATTTCGATTAAATAGAGATTAGACAATAGTAGAGTAAAAATATCTACTTCTACGATTTAAAGTTTTTTTTTTCTTAAATCAAATGAATAAAATGTATTCACTTTCATAACAAGATACTACCATTCATTAGGTGTCCCAAAATAACAATCGATACATAAAAATATTATTTTCAACATTTAACATTTTTTCCACCTCCGCACCACTGTGCACCGCCCTCTCGCCGAGCTTTCCTCCCTCGGTCGTGGGGGTCCGGTCATGGATAGAATTTACGAGACGAGACGAATTCGCCTCGTGCTCGCGACTTGTTCAGAAGAAAGATAATCGTTAATGAATTATTAACAGGCGCTGAGAAGAACGAAGAAAACGCGCACCGCGGAAGAGAGTGCTCGCTCAAGCCGTTCGCGCTTCGTCTCTCTCTCTCTCTCTCTCGTAAATGTCATCGGGGTATTTTCGGCTAAGAAACGCGTGTTACGCGTCTTCTTGGAACAAAAGTCTTAAACGTGAGACTCCGTCACCGGCAGGGCGGCGGCGGCGGCAGCGACGCACACGTGCCTCGTAAATTTTAAGCTGCCAAGGCGGTGATACGAACAGATACACGCCGGAACCTTATACATTATTCAAGGGAGGCAGGAGAGAGAGAGAGAGAGAGAGGTAAAAAAAGAGGCGGTGTGTAAAGTCTGGCGCGTAAAATCTCGAGGAAAAAAACAGAGCGACGTTTGAGATAATTCCGGCAGAATCGCGGCGTTTGCTGCTTCCTCGTGGATATTCCCTGGTCGAGCACTTCGCGTTCGCGATCGCGATCAATGAAAGCACGCGCGCGCGCGTGGTCAAAGGGTCAAAGGGCGAATCGTAGCACCGGTTTAGACACTCGGACTGGCCGGCGTGTTATTTGGATTCCATTAAAATTAGCGGTCTCGAGGCAGACGAGGATTTGCCTAACGAATTAAACCGGTTATATCCGTGCGGGGCCACTTCGCGCCGTCTGCCGGCGATAACAAAGCTAGTTACGGGCGCGTTAATTCGCGAACAGATCCGCGAAATCGTCGTCAAGGGAGAGTTCTTCGCAAACGGGGACAGTCTTCGCCCTGAAACGCGCCTCGTCGCGCGAGTGCACTCGAAAACGCGGGAAAAAGAAAAAAAGAAAGAGGAAAAGCGGAGTTGGCGAGTAACTTTTCGAAAGGAGTGACGGTGACGAGTTACCCTCTACCAGAGTCGGGAAGTTGTTTTTCTTCCTTTCAGAATGACTTTTCACTCGCGTGGTTTACTGAAAAAATTGAACGAAACAATGACATTATCGTTATCCACAATTACGTTACCGTTATTGTCACTGATGAGAATAATTTCACTATCGAATCGTTACTTCGGGAAAAATAATTTGTAACGCCGTTGTCTTTCCAATCGTGCTTTTCCCGTCGAATTCGAATTATAGGAATTCGATTCAAACTCGAATAGTTCATACGTCTCTGGTTTAACACCTACAAGGGCCATAATACTACCTTTTCCTCTACTACCGTTCCACCCAAAAGAAAGAGAGAGAAACTGCTGTTATCGTCTCTCGTTATCACCCGACTCTCTCTCTCTCTCTCTCTTTCTCTTCCTCTCTATTTCCCTCGTGCTTTGCAGCAGATAACATGCAACGATCGTTCAGCATCGGTCTTTATCACCGTGAGCGGCGGTGCGCGGTTGGGCGAGCGAGCAGCGATCCATCGATACCGCCAACCCGCCGTGTGCCCAATCTCGAAACCGTGTTACGCGGGCCGGCGCGCGCGGACACGCGCCCTTAATATCGGCAACCCCGTTTTCCAGCTGTGTTCCCGAGCTCCGGAGCTCGCGAATGGTGCCAGGTGCAACGACTGGCCGACGTAGCGACATTAAACGTCGGCTGCACCGCCTGCCGCATTGCCGATGTCGTGCCGGCCGTAACCGCGGCACGCGGTGTACGTGTGCTCTTTCGCTCTTTTCCTCTCCCTCCGTCTTGCCTCACTCACCCTTCCCGCGGTTCTCTCTCTCACCTTGTCGCTCGGTCTGTCTCCTTTCTCTCTCTCTCTTTGCCACCCTCTCGTACACCCTCACAGGCCACCGACTTTCTGAACCTTAAGGGGTGGACGACTTATCGACCTGACGCTAGTCAGGCCTACCACCCTTAATCTCACCGGTACTTCAATCACGCGTTCCGATAAGCGCTCGGAAATTGGACCGATCTAGTCTCTCTCTTTCTCTCTTTCTCGCGTGGCCCTTCCTCGTCTTCTTCAAACACGTCCCACGAGCAGTAGACGCCTCCGAAATGAGTGTATAAATACTTATGTGGCCGGGAGTAAACATCATCCCCCGACGTGCACGGCGTTCTTCAACTGCCGAGCGGGACAATTGTCGAGGCATTATCGCGAATTGCGCGGGGAATCCTGTCCGAGTCGGCGGCAGTCGTTCGCTGTTAGAGCCGCAGTCTGTTGATTCTCAGGGTTCTCTCTCTCTCTCTCTCTCTCTCTCAATTAGCTTACTCCTGAGCGCAGGAATTTCCAGGTAAATAAATCAGAACGTTCACACGCCAAGCAGGATAAATTTCTAAAAGACCTCTTCAAGACGTCTGAAAGGTATCTGAAAAAATAGAACGTATTTCAGGTGTCTTTTAGAAATGTGTTCCGTGCGAGCTTCCTCTCGGTCCCATTCGCTCGTCCCATTTCCCTCCGGATGCGTCGAGGGTCTGTCGAAAGCCGCTTCTCGTTTCCCCGACATCTTCCCCGCGACGCCCTCCCTCCTCCGAGCGATCTGGTCGGGGCGAAGCGCACTATGGCGACCGGGGCGACGACGAGATCGCGATCGCGCGGAATTGGAACGCCGCATTCGCGCGGGTCGCTCGCCTACTTCTCTCCCTCTCTCTTTCTCCCCTGATAGGACATCAATAGGAATAATACGGGAACTAAGCGACGCGGCGAAAGATACATAGCTGGTAGAGGAGCGGAGTGTAACGACCTTACACCCCCGCGAGCAGCGGGATCGATGGTCTCGAACTCCGGGGGCGAACTCTCATCCGTGCGGCGGCCCAGGTCGTTTCCGCCGTTCGTGGGCTGCCCTACTTTTCGATCACGTTTCGCCGTCGCCCGTTGTTGCCCTGTGCGCTCTCCCTCTCCCCCTTCCCCCCTCCCTCTCTCTCTTTCTCGTTCACCCGTTCACTTTTCACGTCGTGTCACAGGTTTGCACGACCCGACGGCCTGCCGACGGGTTCCGCGACATTTCGCCGATACGCCGTGACATACGATCATGCGTCCGGGTTTCCTGCATCGGCACGATTTTCGAGAAGGCAATTTGCCCTTTTGGATTAACGTTCGCTGAATTCCGCAGCGATATCTGATATAGAGCGAGAGAGAGAGAGAGAGAGAGAGAGAGGGGAGGAGAGGGGAGAATTTTCGAAGGGTGGTCTCTCTAATTTACGAAAGCAATATTATCCGCAATGTTAACGATATAATGGAACGGTAATCACCCAACGGCACACGCAACGTGGGTATTTCGAACGGCGGTTTCTAAAATTCGCGGAATCGCACAAAGGACGGACTGTTTTCCTTCCTTTTCGTTCCGCGTTCTCGTAACATAACATTATTAATATTTACGGACGGTGGACAGTTCGAAAGTTGCAACAACGCGGCGACTCGCCCGTACAAACACTTTGTGTTTTATTTGTGTTTTCATATTACTACAGGAATATATTGTAGCGACGTGAACGTAAAAATGTGTACCAGTTTTTATCGTGCGAGACTTTCGCATCGGGAGAGCGACGCGCGTCGTATCGCGCGCGCTCCAAGTGACGGTGCGTGCGTGCGTGTATATGTGTGTGTGTGTGGGTGACCTGTCGCTCATCATCTGTAAAAATCTCTTGTACGCACGCAACGCGGTGTGCAACGTAGGAATGGAAGGTGCCGAGAGCGCGGATATGTGAACGTTTCTCGCCCGCCGCGGACACGCCGCAGTCGGCCGATCGACGGAAGATTATGTACACTCGATCACCGCGACGCGTGCCGATGTATAATATAATGTATAAAAATTCGCCAAACACCGTGCCGAAGAGAAAATCAGCCTATTCGATAGGAATCCTGACTTCGATTGCGACTTCGGTCGCGATTAAATCGCGAGTCTCCTTTTTCGAACGCGCGCAATTTTTGGCATTTTCTTTTCCTTCTCCCTCGGCCCCGACAATCCGCAGCGGGGACTCTCAGTCGGCGATTTGCGCGACGACGAGACCACACGACCGTCGATACGGTATCGTCGTATCTCGACGAACGAACGAACGAACGATGGTGTTCAACAACAACGTACATTCAAAACACCGAACGTGCTCTCTCACGCAAATGCAAGTTTCCGCGATCTCGATCGGTGAGGAATTCTAAGAGGACTTCCGTCTCGCGCGGCATCGGCAGTTTTGATGTGCAAGTGCTCTTTCTTTCTGATTCAACGCTGTGCCGGCCGAGTTCTCACGAGTCGAACTCGGTCGCTATCTGCAAGTAAAAATCATATTCACACGATGCGGCGGCTAATAATCTAATAAAAGGCTAATAAAATAATAATACAAACGCGCGTAAAAACGGAGAAAGAGAAGGGTGGGGGGAGGGAAAAACGGGTCTCTCTCTTCGCGTTAAAAAATATACAACGAAATATACGGGCAGGAATCGTAATGCGCAATTGATGGACAATTCACCGTGTATCCGCGAGCGGTCTCGCGCACACGACATCGTAATCGACGTGCGTTCTTAATTCTTTCCTTTCTTTTTAATAACACGGTCGCCCTCTCTTCGAGTTGGCGGGTAGATTTCTCTAACATTTAAAAGCGAAGATCTACGCTATCACACTAATTCGACTGTTCGGAGACGAGTCGGGGGGAGGGGGATGGGGCTGATCTCGCTTCGCCCGGCTGTCTCCACTTCCTCGGGTTGGTTCTACGATAGGTGCAACAAGTCCTCAGTTTTTCCCGCTCTAAGCAATGAAATGTAGCTTAAAGGCGTCTCTGGCGCCGCGTTATTCCAAGTTTCGGCGGCTCGAGAAACGCGAATTTGGCGCTTAGAGCGAAAGGCTGAAGGCTTGCTGCACGTAGACCCGGACTTACTACGTAACGCTAAAGCTAATGGCGCACTAGAAAATGATTACTCCCATCTACGTGGCACCTGCTCCGACGCTAAAACGTGAAAATAGCTAGTCTCACATGCGGATCTGCGCACTATGATCGCGTGCGATTCGATTATGCGGCTATCACATGACGCGTACGTTAAGCCTAAAGTAGTCGTTCTTAAGAGAGAGTCTACATGTCGAGATCGAAGATCAGATCGTTTTTGAACTCCAGTTGAACGGCGTCCTTGGCGTCCTCCTTGTTCGGTTCGTCAGCCTGGACCTCGTCCTCCTCGGTGGGCGGCTTCTCGTCGACGTCGGACTCGCGCTGCAGCGGACGCTTGCCGCTCGCGCTCATCTGCGCGATCTCGATGTTCGCCGTCCTCTGCTGCCGAGACTGCTGCTTGTCGCGCGCGAGTATCGGCTTCACGTTGTCGGTCTTTTCCCTCGGCGAGTGCTTGTGGTGCGGCGTCTTGTTGTACTTGCCGCGCTCCTCCGTCTCCGAGTTCTCGCTCTCGCTCATCCGCCGCTTGTACGCGCGCTTCTTGTTCCGCATCTTGCGTTGGTTCTTCTTCCGCTGCCCGAGGATACTCGAGTTGGATCTGACGGGGAAAGGAGGAGAGAAAATTGACAGGCGGGGTCATTGGGCTCACCGATATCGTCCCACGATCGAGCTAGTCGCAAAATATGCGCACGCTCCGATGTAGCTTTTTGCTTCGAACATTTTTCAGTATCTCAAATTGTAAGTAAAATGTTAACTGTAAATGAGGTATTTTAAATAATGTATCGGATTGTTGCAAAGGCCCGTCGTGCTTTGTCAAATAAAATAGATAACAAGCTTTTCCGGTTTGAAAGCATTATTAATTCTTAGGAATAGAATGAACAACATCGACTCGACATTTTTTTCAGTAGACGTCTAAAGGCCGTTCCACAATGTCCGTGAAAGCTGTAAGTTTGTAAGACGTAGTAAACTGTAAGGTAAGATCATAAACGAAATGAAAATAATTCATATCCGCTCACGATCTTACGTTATGGCCTACGACATCGGAACGAGTCCTTACAATCGCGACCAGCGCACTTATTTTTACGAATATTGCAAAATGGTTTTCTAGATATTTAATAAAAAAAAAAAAACCCGAGTCGATCATGCTTATTTCATTCTGAAAAATTATTAATCCTTCGAAATTGATAATTTCGTTTTCTGTTTTATAATACATTGAGAATGGCCTTAAAAACGAGGACTTATCTCGTATTATCCTTTTAATAGTCCAACTTCCTACGAGAATTTGACAGAATTACAAATCTTTTGCATCAATGAAACAGTTGAACGACTCGATTTCAACCGGAAGGATGATAATAAATAATCCATTCGCAATACCTGAACAATTGCTGCGAGATCACGTCGTTGAACCGCACGGTCTTCTTCAAACTGGAGCAATCGGACTCGGAATTGACGTCCTGCACGGAATCGTAATGGTAATCCGTGCACGACGCCGGTAGGCTGTTCTCTTCGGCGCTCGACTCCGAAACGGAGCGCGAAAAATCGCGGACGCGTCGCGATTTCAGTATTCCCTTGGAGTGCCTCGTGCTGCTGTTGCTGCTCGCCAATTCGTCCCCGCTGCTCTCCGAGACCGACCTCAGCTTCTCCACCAAGCGCGTCTTCTCTTGCGCGGCGGTCCGCACGTTCTCGTGCTCCTCTTCGTCGTCCGAGTCCTGCTGAGTCGAACGGATGTTTATGACGACACTATCGCCTTGCGGCGCCACAGAGATCTCTCTTTCCGCCGGCGGATCGTTCTCCGAAGAGGCCTGCAAACCAAATTGATTTCTACAATTTACTTATAGAGACGGTATAAAAAATTAATAACATTGTTCACGATGATCTTCACATCGTCCTAGAGAATATCAAGACACCTCACGATACCGTGAAAAGGTCTTTAAGACGTTAAGGGTGGTAGTCATTGTCAGATCTGATCCTAAATATAGGAGGGAATTAGGAGATACAGTTGACACGCCATGAGATCCCTAATAAATTACCATTAATTCCTGGAACTTGCCCCTGAAGGAGGCAGCGGTGGGCAGATCCTTTTCCTCCATGAACTCCGTGTCCAACCCGGCGGAATATTGCTTCACGTTCTCGATATCCCTGACCGTGACACTGAATACAACGTTATTGTCCCACGGTTCGATCGCCAACGTTTCCGGCTCAACGGAATGATCGCCTATCTTGAGACACAGGGAGTAATACTGCGGGAAGAATCCGGCGCCCACGGACGTCAGCAACACATGCAAGCCCGCGTTGTTCTCGAGGATCTTATAACGTATCGAGTCGGGATTGACATTCTTCACATTCACCGTTACGGCTAACTGGCTGTTGTAAACGTTACAGGTGTACGCGGGGAGACTGTACTTAACGTTAGGATTCATGAACGCGTCAGCTGTCTCTATCGCGTCACTAGTCCGCAAGACGGTATCCGCGCACTTTTCTATCGCTTCACTCGCCCCGTCGAATTCCACAGACTCGTTGATCAACTCCACTTTGTTGTCGGGCACGTTCTCCTTGCCTTTGGACGACGATACGGGGCTGCTCTGGTCGCTGTCGACTCCACTGTCCACCGTCGAGACCAACGAGCGGACCACCGGCAAGGTCACGACCAACTTCTTATACTTCGCGTCGAACTTGGCGTTACCGTTGTCACCGTCTACGGGATACGGTAACGGCAGGTCTAGCAGGTATTTGGCGGGCTTCTCGCTCTTCAAGGTGAGGGACCGCTCGTGTATGTCGAGGGTCGCGTCGCCGGCGCTCTTCAGCAACGGCAGCTCGACGCTGACGATGAGTCTCTTCGGAATCGCGGCGTACAGCTTGGCGTCCCTGCTGAGACAGAAGTCCTCCATCTCCACGTCGGACTGCTGCTTGACGGTGAACTTGGGAGTGACGTATTTCTCGTCCACCGCCTGCTGCTGCTTGTTCTTGTAGTAAGTGGTGACCGGCGAGGCGCGTTGAGGCTTCTCCTCTTTGCTCTTCAGGTATCTCTCACGGCTCTCGTCGTAACTGGACATCAGCTTCTGATAGATCTCCTGGTCCATGTCCAACGGTTCCTTCGGTGGCTCCTCGGAGGGTCTCCTGATGACTGTGGGATGCGACACTCCCTTGAAACTGATCTTCGGGAACTTCAGGTTCTTTCTGTCGAGTTTCACCTAGGGGAGAGCACAGGGAGACATGTGATCAGTGCTGTCGAAGTGTTAAAATCTACCATTTAACTCTTGTCCACGACCTTCCTTATACTTATAAGAATGAGACCGGTCTATTTTTTAAAGAACTATCTACAGTAGCCGTAAAGTAAGACATAAACAATAAGATAATCGACCGACCACAATCGATTATTCTTGGACCATCAGGATCCAATTGATCGATTAGCTTATTGCATACATTACAGCTGTTGTAGACGGTCTTTAAGTTTGACATCTTAAATTCTCATTGCAGATACCGCTTTAAACGGGGACTGCCGGTTTTCTCGGCTTACGGATTAGAGCAAGCTTAAAGTCGGATATGACGTCACCTAACACTTAAGGTTTAAGGCTGACATCCACTTTGAGGTTGCTCGACCTAACAGTATGCGAACCTTGAAGTTGTTCTCCACACCGTCCATCGCAGTATTGTTAACGATATCGCGGAAGCGGGCGTCCTTGGACGCCAGGTAGATGGTGTCCGGATGGAAGACCACGTCGAACACGACGCAGCGCACGTTCTTCTTGTCAAGGTCATCGCGCGGCGGTACCAGCGTGTACGGGATGGACCACTGCAGGCCTCGGTGGCCCTGCTCATAGGAGGGCTGGCTGGTCGGTCGCGCCACCACGTCATTCTTGCTGATGTTCAGGAAGCACTTCTTCTCGCCATTCACGCTCGTTTTTATGACGTAACCGGGCTCGGGGTTAACGAACGTCACGTCTACGCCCCGTTCCTTCTCGAGCTGGGCGATCTCGCGCTCGTAGGTCCGCCTGTTGTCCGGGTCGCGCACCTCCTCCGCGTACTCGATCAGCAGCTTGCGGAAGTCCTCCTTGCGCAGGCACTCGGTGATGTTCCGCAGCTCGTCGCGCGACACGTCCAAATCCTCCCATGCTTTCCTGCGAGACTCGAATACGTCCATCTTACGACGCGCGTGTTTACAAATAGTACCGTCGGTAGAGCGATTGCGAACGGCGCGTCGCCGCACGTGGATCGCGGCGCCACCACACCGGCCGGTCTCCGCACCGGCTGGGCTGCTCGATACGCGAGCGTCGCTTTCGAACGCTCCTCCGCCGGAGTTTACCTCTCTCGCGCTTCCTGCCGATTTCCCGTTCCGCTCTCTGTCACGGGTTCAAACACCGACCTTGCACTGATTTCGTTGCGCGCGATAGTTACGATTATCGATTCTAAAAGGGGACGAATATATTCCGGCTTTCTAGCGATATGATAATTGCGCGTAAAAATTAATTATTACTCAAATAAAATGCACAATTTAAGCGAAATGTAATAATTTTTTATCCAACTTGTACTGATTTCATTCAGAGAGTATTTGGAATTAATACGCTTTCGAATGCGCGTCGAATCGAGTTACGTAACGCATCGCGAAAATGCATGCAGATTCGCGCGGAATTCGCGCAGCAATTCCACGCCGGATCGTTAGACGCCCGCGCGCAAATTCCAAAGCGGCGAATGTAATTTCGGAGAGCAGTAACGCGTCGAGCTTGCTGAAAGAATAATGATGTTGTGCTAACGTATATGTCAGAAGATTTTGTAAACGTTTATGTTACTACTCAGATAACGTATGCACCTGAAAACGGTGTTTGCAATACCCAATATAGAGTATATTTCATTTCCGGCGTAATGTTTCAAGAAATTGCTTGGTCTTTATCTTCCTGAATATTTATTTTTTGTTATGTATTCGATTAAAATAATCGTTCATATTAAATGGTATATAAACAATTAAAATAATCGTTTAAATAAAATGTCATACTAACTATATGAAATATTTTAGTTATGTATATACATTTGAACAGTCACAGTACTATACTATCTATAGAAAATGGTTATACATATGTATTCTTAAGTTATATTTAAAAAATATTGATAATGCACACATCAGAGGGTCAATGTACTCTAACGGATGCAATAAAATACGGTACTTTCTAGATGTAATCAAAATAGCCTTTTGACAAATATATATATATATATAATATTAGGTGAACAACTTTGCTCCCGCCGTTTCCTTATAGATGGCTTTAGTGGAACTTAGTGGTCAAAGTAAATAAATCATATATGTCATACAATCAACTTGGGCATCTGTCACCATAACCTAATAGTTACATTAGTCGATTTGTATCTGTACTATAAAGTTATCGTCGATTGAAGATGTCAGCCGAATTCTCATCATTTGCGGGAGGTTTTACTTTTCTACTTCAATAACCCCAAGCGCAGAAAATCGGCCATACCGAACATTCATGGCTCCAAGGTAACGCTCTGTATTTGGTGGGATCAGCTCGGCGTAGTGTATTACGAGCTATTAAAACCAACTGAAACAATCACAGGCGATCGGTATCGAACTCAATTAATGCGTTTGAGCCGAGCATTGAAAGACAAGCGGCCGCACTACGCCGAGAGACACGAGAAAGTGATTTTGCAGCATGACAATGCTCGACCCCATGTTGCAAAAGTGGTCAAGACATACTTGGAAACGTTGAAATGGGAAGTTCTACCCCACCCGCCGTACTCTGCAGACGTTGCACCTTCGGATTATCACTTGTTCCGATCAATGGCACACGGCCTGGCTGACCAACACTTCCAGTCTTACGAAGAAGTCGGAAAATGGATAGATTCGTGGATTACCTCAAAAGATGACCAGTTTTTTCGATGCGGGATTCATGCATTGCCCAAAAGATGGGAGAAAGTAGTGGCCAGTGATGGACAATACTTTGAGTCATAACTTTATCTCCATTTTTTTACAATAAAACCTCAAATTAAAAAAAAAAAACGGCGAGAGCAAAATTGTACACCTAATATATATATATATATATATTAAAAGAGAGCTATTTAAAAAACTTTTTTAACTGGAAAGGTTTTAGTATGTTATATGGAAAGACAATATACTACACAATCGCCACCAGATTCGTTAGAAGTGCTCGCTAAATATAATTCTAATTTAATTCTTTATCCAGTTAGTAAATCCAACATGGTATATACAGGGTTCTCTTTTCACATTATATCGTAATTTTGTTGCTCGTAAATTCGATCCCGTTCGTATGAAACTCGCTTTTACACACTCAATCTTACCTTACGAGGTACACTGTACAAAAAATACAAGAGCCTATTTACCTAAAAGACCTCAAATATGTCTTTATATATATATTTGTTCTATCGATTCGCACCGAAGACATCTTCTCCCCCATCTTCGAAAATCTCTACTAATCTATCTCACATGTGCCCATCGCTCGTAAAAAGCCGTACTCCGCAGGGGCCTAATTCTTACAATGCTTTATTCTAAGTTGTCATATGAAGGATCATTCAAGTCAATTGCCAAAAAAAAAAAAAAAATTATATATACGTGTATATATATATATATACATACACACAAATACCGAGCTTAAACAGAAAAAAAAAACAAGAGAAAGCTGGCATTTTCCAATATCGAGACCAATTATTTCCCGCGTTTATCCCGCGCCCGCGACCGAGACTGCACACGCGCAAAAGCAATTTCCCCCGTCAACGAAAACAAGCACGAGGATGAGAGACAATCAATACCAATGATGATGATGATGATGATGATAATGCTTCGTGGACGATATGTGCTGATAGTAGAAGGTAACACGTGTCGATTGTTTGGCAGTTAGAGATATGCAGTTATCCCCCCGTAAAATGACGAGCATCGATGATTGTTAACAGTGCGGCGTTAAGGAGCTATTTTAATTATTTCCTGCTATGCTGCTCGATCGCTTCGTAAATCACCATGAGGTAGCTCAAGACTAACCGGTTACAAAACGGTTCAGGTAACTACGTTCAGGTTAAACCGACAGAATGAAGAACCCGATACCGCGACAGAGAACCTTGTGGTACGTTTGAGAGACCACATGTGGACGTAATGGTATTTCCGAATTACGAAATTATCGTATGTGTGTGTGTGTTGTGTAAAAGCAATCGACGCTGAGAAAACGTGGCGACAGCACGCACCGGTAGATAAAAAATACGTTGAGACGCATTGTTAAAAAAATATCTGTTGTAATATAATGTAACAATTTCCAAAGGCATACGGCCGGTATGTACACACGTACACCAACGAGGAATGATTCTGAATCGCGCTAAAAATAGTACCTCCATTTATATCCGCTTAGTGACTTCTAATTCTGACAACAGGTCGCGATAATATAATCTATGCACTGCCGCCGTTCACTATGCATATGCTCTCCATCTTGCCTTTCTGAGCAACGTACTCCACGCTATTTACAACTCTCACGGAGACCTCGATTCGCGCCGCCAAGTCGTACGTCCCGGCTGCCGGCAGCACAGCGTGTAACTTCACGTTATTGCTTGCACGCGCTTGAACGTTGGAGCGAATCGACGAGTGGCCGGCGTACCTATAATACGGCGAAGCTTGCGGCGAGTACAGCTGGGACTTAATATTTGGAAGATGGGTTTCGCTGCAACAAGAAATGCGATCGAAATCATGTAAAGGTGCTTTTACGCTCGTATCTTAGAAGAGAGAAGGCCGACCGGCTCGTTTGATCAGTTACAAAGATCACAGAATTTGCGGAATGACAAATACTATCAAGTACGTCGCGATTAATTCACATTTTGGCTGCTCAAAGAAATCAGAGAACTTTCGGATGCTTATATCTTTTGTAAGTGAAAACCGAAGAAATGAAAAAGAAAGGAGATATATCATACACAATGTAATAATAATTGTATATATATGTACGCTTTACTGGGATATTTATAATTTCATCGGTCAACGCATCGTGAATCGGTTCACTTTCGTCATTCTCATTACGTTTTGAGATCCACACTCGACTTTCTGATTTAATCATTTACCCAGTTCGTTCTTCTCGTGTGTAGTAAATTATGTAATAAAATCACGACACGATACATCTCGACTGTCTTACCTGCTGGTACCTATAGTACTTATTTTAACGTCGACTGGCATCTCCGAGTGGTTCTGCAAGTACATCGTTACGGGGACGATGCACAATCGATTCTGCTGGAAATTGTGCGCGAGCTGCCTCGCGTGGCTCAGGGAGAAAGTGATCAGACTCTTCAGACATTCCGCTTCCCACGCGGGGTCCTTGACGGGCGCGGTTACCACGTTCGGTACGTTCCGCTCCGGTCCGAAGATCCTCAAGCGGGCGCCGTACTCGTTACGCGCGATGCGCGGCTCCTTGGGGTGTTTGTACGTCTTGTTTAGATACTCGAGCTCGAGGTGGTGCTGACCGAAGGCCCTCCGGGTTACCACGCCGCTTTCCGTCACGTTCGCGCACCACCTGACGATCAACGTCGAACGCAACGCCATAGTGTCCGATACAGGGCTGTGCTCGGCGTTCTGCTGCGACTGGAACTGCTGCACGTCGCTCGCGCTCTCGTTCACGTCCAACGGCTGTATGTGACGTCTCTGTACAAAGTTGACGAACGGATAATCGTCGATCGACGCCGCGTCGCCGTCGGTCAATGACACGTCGGAGATGGCCGGCTCGCTGTCGGCCTTCCTCTTCAGCTTCAGCATCAGGTGGAACACCTCCTGCGGCTGCACTCTTATGCTCGACGGTAGAACGGAAGAGCGGAAGGCGAGCCACAGGGCGCTCTGGAGCGACACTTTCGACAGCATAATCTCGTTGATGGATGGATCGTGGACCTGATTCGTGTTCTTCACGGACATTATCAGATTCAGCGTCGGCGAGTCGTCCTTGAACAGTCCGCTTCTCGAGGCCACCGCGCTGATCTGGATGGAGTCGAGCACCGTCAGTTGCCAGGTGTGTCGGCACAGCCGATGCTTCAGCGCGGCCTTCGTCTCGACGCTCTCGTAGTAGAAGAGCAGGTCTAACCGGTGAGTGCCCTTCTCATGAGGCGCTTGCACCCAAAGCGGCGTTTCGTGAGTCTCGCCGACACTCAACACGCCGTTCTTGGACCCTGGTAACGCTATCTTCGTCACCGATCTGCTGTTCCTCCTCACCGTTGAATCTGCAAGCAGATCATATTTCTCACGTTATTCAGCGAAGAAGTTGGACAACAGCAAAAGGAACAAACGACACGCACAACGCAGTCGACGGATTAAAAGTTGCATTCTTTTTTTCTTTCGACGAGTTTCGTAACCGCATTTCGTATCCGGCAGGAAAAGTAACCGACGGAACCTATATAAAGTTTTCAAAAGCAGAAACGAATTCTCCCGTTGGAAACGTAGCGAAACTCGTCGGGGAAGAAGCGTTGCGACTTTTTGATCCGCGTGCGATATAAAGAGACGTCCTTACAGTCCGACGATCTGCGCCCTGAAAGAGCTCACCTTCGCTTTTATCGACCTCCGAGTTTTCCAACGTGAAAAGTTTGGCGTCGGTGCAGGCGATATAGATGTTCGTCAAGGGCGCGTTGCCCACGTTCCTCAACGTCACCTTCACCTTCTGTATCTCGCCGCAAAGCATCTCCGGCGACAACTTTGTGAAGAGTATCTGCCGGAGGGAGGCATCCGTACGTGAGTCGGTCCCGCGCGAGATCAATTTCGCAAGAAGGCACGTACCTGCATAAACGGCGCCTTCTCGATCACGTTCATCTCCAGCCGGTAGTCCTTTCCGTGCACGTTCATACCGGGCTTCTCCTTGACGTTCTTCAATTTCGCCAGCGTGATCTCGAACAACCTCTTACCGGCGATGGTGGTGGCCGAGTTCGCGACCGGCGGGTCGTTTGTCGCTTGCACCGGATTCGACAGTTTGTAACTCAGGCCTAAGATCTTCAGCTCTCCCACTCGCCTGGGCGTGAGGGACAGCACGATGCTCTGCCTGCACGCTGGCTGCAACAGGATCGCGTCGATCACGTCCGAATCGACCAGGCTGTCGTTCCTCTCCGTCTCGTTCGTGACGCCGTCGTCGTCGCCGTGAGCGAACGACCACAGTAACGTCACGTCCGACAACGGTAGCGGCACGTGCAGCGGATTCTGCAGCTCGATGGAATAATGCACCGGCTCGCCCAGAACAGCGTTCGGCTTCGAGGTGTTGTTGCTCGTCCGAGAGTACAGCGCGACCGTCGGCTTGAATATCATGGGCGGCGAGCCCTGCGCTTCGGTGATCAACAGCTCCTCCATCTTCGACCACTTGGCGTCGTCCGTCTCCTCCACGCCGAACGTCACGTGGCTCGCTGGAATATTGCTCCTGGTTTGTTCGCCCAACGGACCGTACAGTACCTTAATACTGTTGCTATCTAATATTGGTAAAGGTAAAGTCAGAAGTCCTTTGCAAGTCACGCCGTTCTCCTGTAACAACAACTGCAGAACAGTCGTAAATAAGCCGGCCGACCAGCTAAAAAGCCCCGTTCCTCACCGCTCACGGTCAGTCACCGAATGATCGCGACATTTTGTTTTCTTTTTGCAAGCTTTGAAACGCACCCCGTGTCTCGTGAGGAAATTTTTCGTCTTTCATGTGTGACTATTCTCGGGAGATATATTTTCCTCTTGGACACGAGGTGCGTTGCGAAACTTATCGAGAAAAGTGTTGCAATCTTTTCGTGACGTGCGATGTGTGCGCTTGATGACTCATCGTCGACGACGTTATCGTATATGTGCACCTACGTTGTGAGTGTGCAAAAATTCGCGTAGAAACGCAGCCTGTTGCGGAGCGGACTGCTTGCTCGATGCATTAAGTAACTTCTCAAACGCTTTCACCGCCTCGGACACTTGTTTCAGAGACGCGGCCTGCCTGCCGATCGTGAAATGGATGTGATCCTCGGCTAAGGACCAACCTCTCTGGTGGTAGACCTACAGACAGAAAAATACATACTGTATTCAAGTAAATAACTTCTTTCAAGTATTTCCCATAAGTTTATACATCCACAAGCATATCATAAATTCATCGTAAGCGTCAAATTGATTCAAGATATATTCTGAATCCTGGTAAGTTTAGTATACTTCTGTCGAGAATATTAAATTAAAACACCAAGGCTAAAATTTCATCTCATTTATTCCAATTGACGGAATTTAACTTTTCTAAAGAAAAAATTAAAATAAAATTTATAATATTCTCGAGGGGAGAAAATTCTTCTGTTCTCGAGTAAATGATAATAAGCTTCTCTAATATTTACAATAAATACATTTTAATATCATCATCTAGAAAAAAAATATTCTCTATCCAAGATAAGCATTATTTTTCAAGAGAAGAAATATGGCTTCTCTTCGCATTATGGCATTACTTTTCTCTGTGCAAAGTCATATGTCACTCACTAGACAGATGGATCGTTTCTACGCTCACCTGATACGCCTGCTGATAGCACCTCAGCGAGTGTTTCCTCTGACCGGCTTTCGAAAACCTATGTCCAGCGAGGACCGCGTGGAAGGCGTATTTACGCATCATCTTCGGGCCGATGAAGCAGTAGGCGGCTTGCTCGAGCAGCAAAGCCGAGCGCAAATCTGAGTCCTCGCTGGTCATTCGTATCAGCTGCTTCGCCGCCTCCCCGTAGAGTCCTCGGCCCTTCAGGCACTCGGCACTGAGCAGCGTCGCTCTCGTCGCGAACTGAGGCATCTTGCAGCTGTTCGCGTAAGTCAGTATCGCGTCGTCCATGTACTCGATGGTCTTCCTATTCGTCTCGCCTTGCATGAAAGCGCTCAGAGCGGCCATCTCTAGAGCGCCCGCATAGTACACCCAGGCTTGATCCGCCGCGAAGTCACGCTTCGCGCTGTGATACGCCTGATAGGCGAGCGAATAGTGGCCGAACATGAAGCACAGGTCGCCCAAGCGTCGTAGCTGCAACTCGGGCGACTCCGCGGTGTAACTGGAAGGTAAACGTGTAAATATTCAGGTTTGCACGGCGAGTTCGCTTAAGATAAGTACGTTAAGAACGCAAATGGAAGAAAGGTGGTCTCTTAAACAGGAACGACGAGGAACGATTCTCTCTTACATCACAGCGTTTGATGGCGCAGAACCTGGTGCACCAGGCTTATTTGTACCGAACCACCTTCTCGTGGCGCTGAATAGCGATCTACTGACCCCCTTTTTGTTCGAAATCACGTCGTTCAATAGGCCAATCTGCTTCTCTACGTAAGGCAACAGGCTTCGCAAACAGAATTCTGTTATCAACGTCCGTAATCTTTCTAGATCTTGAGTGGAGAGACGAGCACCGTGTTGAGCAACTACGTAATTCGGCGAATCCGCCCAGACGTTTGTGTTTATCGGCGAACTGGTGACAACAACAGACTGACCCTTCACGTTGTTCGCAGCAATGTAATTCTGCGTTTTCTCGTTATCCGGACTGAGCGGATGAATCGTGACCGGGACAGCTTCCTGTCCGACTTCCAGGTGCACATTCGTCGACTCGGATATTTCGGAGGAAAGACTTATCGTGTCGGCCATATCCGGAGATGGCAATGCGCAGTTTTGCGGCATCAGCGGCGTGCCGGCTTGACTCACTCTGCAATAGAGAATAGGATGATTATTACCTCACCAAATATAAATCTATGTAATAATTTCAAAAGATTTAGGAAAACATACTTGTCGGACTCTGTAGTCAGCTCGCTCGGCATGGCGGACACTCCGCCTGTATCCGCGGGTGTACGAGGGGAACTGTTTTGTTCACTGCTGCCGGACAGTTCCGAGTGCTTAGTCAGAAATTGACTCCAGGGATCGGGTAAGTGCGAATTGTCGTCCGAGAGACCCGGTGGTCTCGAGTTCATTTGCAATAGAAAACAGTTGTTAGCACCGTAAATAGTCTTCATCTCTATAAAAACTATTTCAGCTCTGAAAGATCACACACGAGTGTAAATTTGCGCGAAAGAGTTGCAGGTCATCGACTTATTGGCATGTCTCTCCCGACGGAAATATTTTATTGAAAATATAACGAAATTTTACTGACATGTATTACAAATTCTTTCACGATTGGCCCCATTTCACTGTTATTATTCCATCAATATTTCAGTAAGCATTCGGTTTCCACTTAAATCAAGTAAATTTCATACTTAATATTAAAAAAGAACAATATTATTACTTCTCAGCAGTATAAATTACATCCTAAAACTTTTCCTAATATTTCACGGTATTGCGTGAAATTTCACGAGGGAAATTGTGATTTCTTTCGAAATACGCCCCGTAATTCTTCAATAATTTTCGGCAAGATATTTCCATCAGTGCTGGTTCTGCTGATTTTGAAAACAGCACCCGATAAGCAGGAAGACCGAATAATGTACTTACTTATTCCTATCATCCTGAATAGCGTCATGAACCAAGATGTAATACCTGAGGGCATTGTTATTAAACCACTTGGGCAATTTCCCCGGTATACTCTGATGCAACTGTGCACCCATAGACTGAATCTTCTCTAACGGATTGTCCTCAGCTGTGGAAACAACTATCATGCACGCGAGCAGGTGTTTCGTGAACTCATGATCCGATGGGAACTGGACGCTCAGGAATGTCTCTCTCCACGCCTCAAACCAAGGAACAGATATAGGGATATCAAGCTCGGTTGTGCCGATACGAACACTAGTCGTACGTTCGCACAAGGCAGAACTGGCCGCCTCGTTCAGCATCTTTTTGGCAAGACTCGGCTCCGGTGGTCGCGCATTAATGTCTTGTATGGAAAGCCGGAGATTCCTGATCGCTATGGTGTTTCCTTGAGGATCCTTGAAATGGCCTGGGTGAATTGTCAACATGGGGATGCGTCAATACAGAAGCATAAAACAGACTTTAGCTGTATATGCAGGTTATATGCACGTTGCATCGGTGACCCCGGTTTCGAAGTGGCCTGAACGTTTTCGATGGAGCGGGGAAGTGGAGGTTGGGAAAAAGAGGGGGGGGGGGGGGGAATCTCAGCTTACCTTCGGTATTCAATTTGCAAAAGGGCTGGAGCAGCTCGACGAATGACAGATTATTCTTTTGGCACGCAGCGTCGGCCGCGGCCGAGCAGACTACGGCGATCTGCGGGGAAAAGGTGTTGCCGATAAACTCCCGCGGGGTTAACTTACACTGAGCCATGACTCTGTTTGGTGGGCGCAAACCATCAAAATACATGTATAACCCGTATATCCACTCGCGCTCAAAGCAGCAGCGAACGCTTTCTCTATCTCATCGGCCTGCGTGGCTCAATCGGCGTGCCGCATCCCGCGGGATCGCATTACCGCCACTCGTTATCTCGCGAGTAGTCGGCAAGCGATAGAACGTCGACGGTGCATCCCGATTGTACAATCGCGAAGATAAACATGTCTCATCGAACAGCTGTTTTCTTCCAAATATCCGCCCCTGAGAACCTGACGAGCGAGAACCGCGACCGAATATCACGTCGCGTCATGTGACACGCTAGACGGCCGATATAACGATTGATAACTCGATGTTCGATTCTTCCAGCTTTTCAACCCCGCTCGGAGAGTCGATTATCTTCTCGATATTTCTAAACTCGGACAGCCCTCTTCTCGATTAATTCGATATCGACAATTGTCTTCAATTTCACGTGAAATTTCATAGCTGAGCTTGATTTGAGCGTGAGTTTTATGTATATTTATTATACGCGGAAAATCAAATTGACGTCACAAGTTGTCGTCATAGAGCCGAGCTTGACTGAACAGATGACTTTCGTACACTCGGTCACCGAACGGTCGCAACCGAGTGTTCCGAAATGTGAGAAACAAAAACCTGTTGCCACCGTCCTGTGACCGAGTGTACACACACGGAAGTAAAAACTTGGTCTGATTCGTCGTCGATCGGTACTACTCGGAGCTGAGAGGCCCACTTAACCAGTGACGGTTGAGTCGTACTCGGCGGGAACCCGCATCGTCCATCTCTAGAGGCAGCTACACCGTGCGACGAGGCCGCCACATAACCTCAATGTCGAGTTTGACAGTTCTCTCCGGCGCAACACGGTATTCCTTATCATAACGCTAACAGCTTTCTCCCTTCAGTTTTGATTTCTCGCTCGCAGATGCATATCCGGCGATTCGGCGCGAAGTAAGCCGAAATAATGGCGGACGATAACGGCGCGACGGCCAGGCCGGAGACCGAGCGTAACCGAGAGGTTAACAACGAGGACAAGGAGGTGGACATCAGCCGTTACTTCAACGACGCGCCGCTGACGATCTTCGACGAGATCGTCGCGCCCAAGAAACCGGACTACTTCAACGTGCAGTCGGCCTCGGTGAGCCGCGTTTCGGACTACACCTTGCCCGATAGCGCGTCGAACCTCCCTTTCTTCAACTCGGACGGCCTGCGGACGTCCGCCGCCTCCTCGTTGCTGGAGCCGGCCGAGCGAGCCGCCGAGCATGGCGCGCCGAACGACACGCACCGCGACGCCTGGATACCCTCGGAGCAGACGCGGAGGATCCTGCGGTCGGTCGCGACCACGGCCGCCGGCGGCAACCACCCGGACCGCGAGAATCTCACGATGCCGGGGCTGGCGGTACACGGCGACATGCCGGACCCCATCAAGAACGCGTCGATCCACTTGCTGGGCGAGGACGAGAACATCCACAGGAACGTGCTCACCGCGTCCGACGTGACGCAGGACGAGCGAGGCCTGAGGAACCTGATCCAAGCCGGCTGCTACCGCGCGGCCGTCAACCTCTCCGGCAGGTTACTCGCCATCTACGCTCAGGGTTACGGGAAGATCAACCAACCCAGCAAGCACACTCCTCACTCCCTGCAGCTGTGGTACACGAGACTGTCGCTGTTGGCGAAGCTCAGGCAGCTGGAGGTGCTGGAGAACGAGTCGCGGCCGTTCGGCAGCCTCGACAAGCCCGACATGTACTTCAGATTCTACCCGGAGCTGTACGGCACGAGGTCGGGCTCGATGGCCTCGTTCGCCTTCCGGCTGCTGCTGGCGGAGATCCCGTCCTACTGCGGCAAGCCGAAGCAGGCGTTGGACAACCTGCACAGACTCCTCGCGACCGTGAATCGGATCGTGGCGAACCTCCGAGTCGGCCTGCACGGCGAAGGGACGCGCGCGACCACGAAGACCGGCGAGCAGCGAGACGCCGTGCGGCTGTGGACCGCGAGGAAGTCCCGCGTCCTCGTCTCCGTCGTCAACTGCGCGGTAGGCATGAAGAGCTACGTCCTCGCGATCGAGATCCTGGAGGAGCTGTGCAGGTTACCGGAGTGGAGCGCGGAGCAGCTGGGGATCCTCCGCTCGGCCATAGGGAGGGTCCACCTCTTCCTCGGGGACGTCTCCGCGGCGGAGAGGTACCTGGTTCGGAAGGAGGAGCGGACGTCGAGCGTGCGGGAGCTGGTGGACAGCGGACTGATGGCGGTCGCGCAGAACGCCTTCCAGGAGGCCTACAACTGCTTCCAGTCCGCCTCGGCGATGGATCCGTCCAACGTGATGCTGATCAACAATATGGCGGTGTGCCTGCTCTACACCGGCCAGCTGAAGGCCGCCGTCCGGCTGTACGAGAGCCTCGTCGGCAGGAACCCCCTCAAGAGCCTGCAGGAGCCGATCCTGTTGAACATGTGCACCTCGTACGAGCTGCACACCACCCACTGCAAGCAGACCAAGCTGCACCTGCTGCGCCAGCTGAACAGATACAAGGGCGACGCCGCGGACATTCAGTGTCTGAAACTAGCGATGTGATGTTAGCACGATTATTGTTACAATGTTGACGCGTTTCACGACCACCGGGGGCCACGCGGGATCTCCGTTACTCCTAATAATGTAATAAGTTGTAGGCGAATTCGCGAATCGTCCGCCCGCACCGCTCGATCCAGGCCGGATTTATTTATTGCTTGTCTCTCTTTCCGTCACTTTCGACCGCGCACGGGCTCGAGTTGCGAAGCGTTCAGCCTCAGGGAAGGTGTTGTAATCTCGTTGTGATATATATATTGAGAGAGAATAAAAAAGTATATAATGTTCAGTTATATTAAGCTGTCTCTGTGGGTTCCTCCTCTCTTCCGATCCTCGCGTCAAGTTGATCACGTCGTCCGTCCCCTCTACAGTGTGCTCATTCCTGACTATTGTACTATGTGGGCCGCTTTCACAGCAAGAGGCGTAAGTCTGGTTATATCGCTTATTATTCTTTTCTTTCTCAGATACGAAGTAAGGATGATAATTGGACTCGTCATTTGTCCTTATTTCTGGTCTTTTCGGTAGAGAAAAGGATAATAGGTGAGATAAGCCGACTCGCTGGAAAGCAATCATACAAACTGGAATGAACACTACCGGGAAAAAATGATTATATATGATTATATGTAATTATATGAAATCATGTATGTGGTTACATATATGATCATGCATGTCTGTATGAAAAAAATTATGTTTCGTCATTTAATTAAGACACGGCTATCACCACGCCACGTGCTCGTTCCAGTTTGTTACACGGTTCAATGCCCCTGATCCTGAACGATTTTCGCAAGGTTGCGAAGGCGCGTATATGAAATACAACACAGACACGCAACAGACGGGAAACACAACACTAGAACGTCAAAGTAAAATAGCCTTTATTACATCGTGAAACGAGGACAATTTAACGAACGTTCAACAATTGCTATAGTTTTCTCTCCCCCGCACACTCATTCTCTCTCTCTTTCTCTCGCTCTCTCGTTCTCGCCGACACACGTGTGCGCTGAACACGTGTGCGTCTAACCGCGCGTTTTTCGTCTTTCTTCGCTTCTCGGTCTCTGTGCTTTTTTTTATTTTTTTTTATTCGAAAGAATACGGGCGCCGCAGCGTACTCCGAAAATATATATCATGTCAATAATCGGATGTCTTTACGCTCTTCTCTTGTTTTCTTTTTATTACGTTTTATTTTTTTTTTGCATTTAGCATACGTGCTCCCTCCCACCCTTCGATCGTTCTTGTTCGCGCGTCGGTTCTTCGCGTTTCCAAACTGTCTTATTGTTTCCTCGTTTTCCTCTTTTCATCTTCTTCCTATCGTTTATTTTTTTTCTTATCTTTTATTCTTTAAACTGGCTAATTTACTCTTTCGCTCTCGCTTTCGTTCTCTCTCTCTCTCTCTCTCTCTCTCTCTCTCTCTTTCGCTATCGCCTTCTTATTATCGCGCGATTGCATTATATTGTAGCACATATTATTAGATCGGATTCCAAAACTGCACACTCTCTCTCTCTCTCTCTCTCTCTCTCTCTCTCTCTCTCTCTCTCCCTGCAGAAAAAAAGGCACGAACTGGCGGAAAAGTCGGCCTAACTGTATAATATTTTCATTTATTTATTATGGATGGAACTTCGTGTCACAATACATTATTTTATTCCTCTCTTTTCCCCACCGTCGTCCCATTGGCCTCACGGCGGTTTCGGCCCGTTAAATCCGTTAGTGCCGCGTAAGTTTAACGACGTAGTGTACGCAGCGCAAGGTTTCTCCGCGTGTCGATTAATTCGCGACTTATTAGAATTACTTAATTTGCGTCATTACGTCTATCTCAAATGCCCATCGTCGACTATCGGATACGACTGAGTCGCTCCTTCTGTTAGATTAATACGTTAGATAAAAGTAAGGCGTCCCTCATACCGAATGATCAAATTTGATTATTTTAGTATTAATATCGAGAGAACACTGTCACTGAGAACACGCCTAAATAAATTCTTATACAACTATAATATTGTTATATACGCGCTAGTATTAGAATCAGAACAGTAACTAGGACGTGCTAAAGGCGAGTTTTCGCTTCGTTCATCGCAGAAATTTTAGAGGGCGCATCCTTTTAAAAATATAAAATCATCTTTCAAAGTTACATTTCGCATCGCGAATGTTTCGTCAATTTTTAACACTTAAATCCTTATTTTCGATAAAATGAACTTTGCACATGAAAATAAATGTAAAAAGTTAAAATTTTTCTCACCAACTGTTCAATATTAAAATTTTTCTGTTTAAAATAAACTACTCATCTTGTGTTGTTTTTAGATTGTATTCTTAATTTTGTTCTCACGATTTCCGTATAAATTTAAATTTCCGTCACGTGTGTAAATTATTTCAATTATATCCACGATTACATTGCTATCTGTCAATTTGCAAAAGAAAAAGGGTTGAAGCTAGGAAATATTGCTTACACAACGATAAAACAGTTTGGAATGCGCCTAATGCGATGAAAATTGCTTAGGAAACATTATGTCAAATTTTATTACGCAGTCGAATATATAACCCGTTCTTTTTTTTATCATTAGATTACGCATTAATTACAAAATAACATCTCGCATGAAACTTGCGCTGCGGGCTACATCGTCAAGAAAAAAACCTTCAAGTTGCCCCTTTCTCTTTTTCTCTCTTTCTTTCTCTTTCTCTCTCACACTCTCTCTCGTTCGAATACGTTCACACTTTGTCGTATTATAATATTCACATCGCTATTTTTGGCGATTAAATGTAAATTTTGTGTATATATATATTTTTTTAAATATATAATATATACCACAATATCGTGTATATATTATATATATATATATATACAATATATATACACATTCACTTGTGTGTGTGTGTGTATATATATATATATATATGCCAATTTATATATAGTAAATTTATCTTTTTATACGTCTACAATATATTTATATATATATATATGTACTATGGTGTAGTGTGTGCTTACGCCATCTAAACTCTAAACGAAACGGTACATTATTGTCTGCGGTATTTTTTTGTTTTCGAGTATTCATATATATATATATATATAGTATATACAATTTCCTCATTTTTCAGTATTTATATATAATTATATTAGTCAATGAAAAGCTCAATGGCGTGTCCACGTAGTATTCATTGAGTATAATAAATCTGGAAGTCCGTACGCTTCGCGACGCTCCTCGCGTGTAATCGACGCGCAATCTGCCTCGCGGAACATGGAAAGAGAATAATCTCTCGTTCGTCTCTTCCGATCGCACGAACCTATTTAGGATGTGTCAGTCCGTTTGTTCTTTTTTTTCGTCCTTTTTATCGAACATCCACTTTAGGAACGAGACTAACGAAACATACGAATGAAATACAGTACGACTCGAAGAGGATCGCGAAGGTAATTCTGCTCTCGACGCCGACGACGTTGCATCGATGTCGCACGCTAACATTTAATGTATTTATCATTTTTTTTTTAATCTCTTGGCAACTAGGCAAGCTCGGTCGTTCACGGAAGGCATCGTATGGTGCTTATTAAATCGTTGCTTCAACAATCATAACAATCTCTTTATCGCTCTCATCCTTTCCTTTCCGGCGTTTGATCGCGTTTCCCTTTTAAACTATCCACGCTGCGTCTGTGTTACTTTATTCTCGTTATTGTTCGTACGGGAGGTAACGGCGATAACCGATGTCGATGCACGAAAGCTGGCGCGACTTACATACGCTTTACGTTTTTTTGCTTTTTTATCCTTTTCTCATTATTTAGTAGTACGTACATATACTGAGGCAAGCGGGTCGCAAAAGCTCCCGGAATCGGAGGAAATATAATATATATATACTTTATATATTATCTATACGTATATAATATTGTCTTCGTAAGTTCTCTGCCTTTTCCTCCTGATGTCCTAACCCGTTGTTGGTCGTGTAAAGTCACTTGAAAGTAAGGATGTGAATGATCAGGGATCGAGACCACCGGTGTAAATCGCGATGATTTCCGCGAGCACGCCGGTATCTCGCCGGTGCGAGTGCAAAGAACGACTCGAACGCTAATTAGCCAGGCTCAATTCAACGTGAGAAACGAGACGCAGAAGAGTTGGTAAGAAACGGACGCGCAAACGAGTAGCGTAGCGGGTGGGAAGCTTATCGTCTCCGTGAAAGAACAAGAGGTAAGTGAGGATAGAAGGATTTTCCGAGACGCGAGCAATGCGCGACGTCGAGCAAGAAGTACCGTGGCGCGGCGAATTATTAACGGAGCGGATTACGGTTAGGAACGACTTGTCGCTTGTAACACGCAAAGGAAATGCGATTGAGAATCACTCGGATGCGAATATTGCGGACGACATTGTAAATAACGAACGGCGACGAACGTCTCGAGTAAGAGAAGAAACGCGAGACAGCTCAGTGTGCGCAGTGTCGAATGTGAGGAAGAGATCCATTGCAGTCGAAATTCGCTGCTCGATCGATTAGTGTACTCTCTCTCTCTCTCTCTCTCTCTCTCTCTCTATCGTATCCGTACAGTAATATTATATTATAATTATATAAAAATATATTTCTTAATCATTTTAACACTATAATAAATGAGTATTATAAGCATTATAATCTGCACATCGTTCTTTCTGGTTTCTTTTTTTTTCCTTTTGTTTCTCGTCTTTCTTTCATAATGTAGTGGAGACACGATGCCTGTCGCGGATAACCGAAGCTTCTACACGCGTCGAGGAAGTACAACCGTGACGTACCGGTTTGCCGTATGCCGTACGCGCGCACACACACACACACACACACACACACACACTGGCAAAATTTTTCAATATAATACGGTAATATCTGTATCATATCATATCATCTCTCTCTCTCTCTCTCTCTCTCTCTCTCTCTCTCTCTCTCTCTTTCTTTCTTTCTTTCTTTCTTCTCGTCTTTCTATTTATCAATAACAATATCACTTATCACTTGTGGTACTCGTGTAAATAAAAAGACGCATAAACTGTTATAAAATACATTCTCGAGTATTATCAATCTTGTAGAGTATATATAATATATATATATATATATATACGTCCTTATACCCCTACGCGTCCGAACGAATAAAATCATATAAACGTCGTAATATAATAATTTTATAATAGTATAATGTGTTGGAAGCATTTAATATCATACTTAGACGTTTACGGTGTATTCGGGCCTCGGATTTCGGTGAAGAGATTATTGCGAGGTTTCGTTATCGCGTTTCTCATTCGTCGTCGCGCACCTCTCTTCGAACAACACGAACGGTCAGAGTAAACACGAAAAAAAGATACTCTAATTTTTCGGACGTCTCTTAGACATATCTTTTACGTTTTCCGCAGCTTCGTGTTATTCGCGTTCCGTCGCAACACCGCCGGTCTACGCTCCGCCGCGTAAAACGAACACGCTGCGGGAAGTAAAATCGTTGGCTGTTTAGGCGAAAGCGAGGTCGGAGGGATTACGACGGAATTACGTGTCACGCGGTGCTATTCGTTGCAAGAAGAAAACGGTAAATAAATGAGGCCCAGAAGAGGGAGGGAAATACAGTGAAAAACAAAAATGGAAAACGGATCCTCGCGGAATGTGTAGCGCACTTTCTATGTACTGTGCGTTTGCACAGTTTTGAACGACAGTCGTTACATTTATAGGAATAATGCGTTATCAACTTGTCAACTTGTAAGTACAATAGTAAAAAAAAAATCGCTCGCATGACACCAATCACCGACCCGCATGGCCCTTAAAAGTTCCACATTTCTTCCTCTCTCTCTCTCTCTCTCTCTCTCTCTCTCTCTCTCTCTCTCTCTCTCTCTCTGTCGCTTTATACATATATATATAATAATATATAATAATTACTATATAGCCCTTTGTCGTGTGAAGTTATCCATCGCAAGGAGGCGGAACGTGAGATTCTAATCCTCGTTTTATGTCACGTTTACCGACTGTTTCCTTCCTTTTCTTTTTTTAACGTTAAGCTCAATTAACAGCTGAGTCCAAACATATTTGATTCAGTAAACTCAATATATCCCTCTTTATCCGTGTAGAACGAGCGCTCGTTTTACACTCCGCGCGATCTCCATTCTTATATCTGGATTATATCATTGGGACCTGAGATGTAAAGTTACTTGTCGAGATGCAAGCACCGTCTTTCCGCGAAACGAATTTACCGAGAGTACAATACACAAGTCGCCGTGCGACTTTTCCGATCGTCCGAGAATTTGAGACTTCGTACATTATTTAGATTTGTATGCTACTTACACGCGAACTTCGAGAATGGACATCGCGCTCTCCTCATGCGGACGTGGCTAACAAATTTGTACATTAATTAGTTCCTTATTATTGTCATGGTATATATAGTATCTTGTTAATAAAAATACTAAAATATTATGTATATTATATATTATATATTATATATAGATTATTGCATTATGCATTTTTGGTACCGTTACACGTGTTTGGTTTATTTGTCGACTTGCGCTTACCGCGAGTAGTTTTCTTTCGTTCGCACTAACTAGTTGTTTCTTTCTCCCTTTCTTCGCGCGACGTAGAATAGAAGATTAATAAAATCTAAAGCTAATCCAGACGATACAACGACATTCGTCTTAATACGCGAGCTATCTCACCCCCGTATATCCTCGCGAGATTTTGAAACCGATTGCGAATCGACATCTTACTCTACACGCATTTATTAAATCTTTATGATCTCTCGAATCGCATCGTCCAAACCGTTATCCGCATATTTCCTTTTCTTTCTTCGAAGTACGAACTGGCCCAATACACAGCGCCATGGCTTCATTATGTGTGATGTCGCGGATATCTTATGTTATACTATAACTTCGCGGAACGTCGCGGTTTTTGCTTAAAGTTCGTGCCGAGTGGAAGATAGAAAGGCGTTCTAGCGTTTCCTTGCGCGTTTCTTCACCTGCTCGCGAGCGGTGAAATTTTGCATTTCCTTCGAGGAAATCTTGGAGGAAAAACTTACGCGTAAAAGAGGGAAATCCTAGACGCAAGGAGAAAAGACTACCTAGGTAAGCGAGCGAGCCTTGGGTGAGCAGGCGGAGTACTCCTATTCTCTGTAGGGCTTGCAGTAAGAGTAACGATGATTCATGTGCTGGCTATAGGAGCCGGAGTGAGAGAAGCGCTTGAGGCACTTGGAGCACTGGAAGGGCTTTTCGCCACTGTGCAGCCGTTTGTGTTCAGTCAGATGATGCTTGTGCTTGAACGCTCTGGGACACTCCACGCATTTGTACGGCCTTTGCCCTGAAATATTCCGTAATCTAGAGTTAATCTCGTGCGACAAAAATTGCCAAACTTCCCTGATCTCGATCAACATCGTTGACTAATGGTCGAAAACACGTTAACTTTTCACGGGCTATGCGTAGAAATTGATTACTTCTTAAATCGATCGTTTGTAAATATACAGTAAATAAAAAATTAATTTTAAAGAGTAAGGTATCAAGATACTCTTAACTGAATATCGAAAGATCGCTCTTTTCTCTCTTCGTCGAGAAAAAAAGTGATCTTTTCTGAAGATGATTAGATAACGAGACTCGTTACAGCAAATAGAAGTTCGCGATGGCGGTGCGATGACGTTATACTCACCGGAATGTTCATACTTGTGTCTCGCGAGGGAACTGTGTTTGGAAAATGTTTTGTCGCACCGATCACAGAAATGAAGACCCTGCTCGGTTTCCGTTGCCACGGGGGTTGCTTCTGCTTGAGGTGTAACCTCACTTTCGCCTTTCACGTTCGCTTGATTTTGGCTCTAAATCAATAACACACGACTCGTAGAATCGTTTCTTTGCATGACTTCAAACACAACGACTTACATGTAAGATTGTCTAGTATTTAACCAACCAATGAACACATACTAAACATATATGAACACATATTGAATGTGCATTGTAATATTGAACATACACAGCTTGTGACAATATTATCCTCGAGTAGATGAATTAAAACGTCATGTCAACATCTGCAATTAGGTTTCCGTTAGCCAATAATTTTCATTAGTTGTTTGATTTAAAAACTTCGCACCTAATTAGTGCACCATTCTTATTCGCTCATTAGTTGATTTAACAATTTTTACTTCTTGTCCTTCTTTTCACTTTTACTTACAAATATTGTAATATATATAATAAGTAAATAAATAAATATTACCTTCGCAATTATCTCTCCAGTGGGAGGTGTCCGCTTGACTTCAACGGGGTCAGTAGTAGTTTCTTCGTCTATAACGAGAGGAGAATCCTCGAGGTCGTCGTTGTCGACGTGCGGGGCTGGATTATTATCATCCTTCTGCTCGCAAGGAGACGAAGTATTTCTACTCGACGTGTCGCTTTCTTTAGTCGTCGATATAGCAAACGCTTCCTTCTTAGAGAGATCCAAGGGTTGCTCGATTACAGTCTGACTCTTTGGCAGTGTCAAAGGTACCAGACCTGGCATCTTCGACTCCCTTCGATCCCTGGCTCGAGAATTTTGAAACCAAACCTATAAAATAAGCGGTATAATTATAATATTTTACTATGATTGTAACATGATACGCATGATAATTATCTTTTTCACTTTAATATATACCTGCACAACACGAGTAGGAAACTTAATGTAATTGGCGATCATGGTGATCTCTTCCTTCTTAGGACGCGGGTTAATAGCGTAGTAACCCTTGAGAACAGCTAACTGTTCATCATCTATGAGCGACCTGGCTCTCACCCGCCTACCATTGTCGTTGTGAGTTTGATTCCCTTCATCCTCGTCCTCCGAATCCGCCTCAGAGCTGTCCTCCCTTTTTCTCTTGTAGGCTGATCTCGATGTCGGTTGATTGACGTTCTCGAGCTTTGCAGCTAAACCTTCACTCTGTGAATCATATTGGTCCGTCGCAGCCCAGTCCGGACAATGTGTCATTTCACTGGACATTTCGCTATCTTGATCCTGCGAGAGTAAATTTCCCATTTACTGACGTGAACATGCCGTCGTTTGTGTAGCGGGAAAGTTCGAGCGAAATAAAATTTCGGACGGAACTGATGAAAAAAAATAAATATACAGGGTGAAGCTGTTATCACCTTGAATCTTGATCTTTGAAAGTATGAGAGGAAAATTTATCTAACAAAAATTACAAAATTACAATTACAGAAACGATCGTCTTACAATGGTAATGCTTTTTTTTCTAACTAGCTTCAAGATCTGAAGGTCACCTGTGTTTTTCTTTTTTATGGAATCATATAGTTTTTTTTTTAACATAAATCGATTCCTATATTCATTCTGTGTATAAAAATACTAGGATAAGATCATCGGAAAGTGAATACTTTCTGAGTTATTTTATTTTTTATTTTGATATTCTTTTCAGTACAAAATATGAAATATCTTATAAAGTATTCACTTTTCGATAACATCACCTCAACCACCTCAGTAATTTTTTACCTGCGATTTCTCTCATACTATTACGTACAAGTGTTACCAGTATAAAACGGCCGCTTCTGTACCATGTAATTTCTGCTAGATACATTTTTCTCTTATTCGTATAGTTCCGAAGATATTCAAGTTGGTAATGGTTATTGCTTCATCCTATATATGGCGGGAATAAAATAAAATTAGCTGTTCTCTACGATTGTATCTTAAGTATCGTTAAGTGCTCTTATTTGCCATTCTTTTACGCGTTGAATCTCGTTAACGTACTTGGTAATCCTCCTCAAACTCTCGCTTCGTTGTAGCCGGAGACGTGGAGAGCTTCCGCACGTTCGCTTCCAATAGCTGCTTCGTAACGGAAGCATTTACAGTCTCTAGAATTCGCCGGACAGCATCGAGACCTTGGGAGTCGGCCGGCGCGGGGGACTCCTTGCCCTCTGTGCCCTCCGTTTCCTCAGAATCCGCTGTTGATGGACTCATTACTTCCCGGTGCGTCTCGAACTGCTCGGTAAGCTCGTCGATTCGCTTAGTATGCAACTGATGTAGAAGTTTGCCCAGTGAAGTCTGCAGGAAGTAACTTCCCAACCCGATCATGGAGGGCAGCAAGGACGGCGGCATGTCGTAGACACCTGGATATTTGGGCTTTTATCTATGTGAATTCTTTTGTAAACCTAGATAGATTTTTCTCAATAAAATAGAGAGAGAGAGAGAGAGAGAGAGAGAGAGAGAGAGTCGGATGTCATGATTTATTACGCCATTCAATTTTCGGTAATAGACACTTTATTTAAACATGAGTTCACAACTAAGATGCATGAAGACCACTTGTAAGATCCACTTTAAATATATGGTCATAGCTAAAGTGGACTTTGTGAATTATGGAGTCCATCCTCTAATTTAGAACGTCTCATGTATCATTATAAGCAAGATTCCGATTGGAATTCCGCGAAAGCAAAGTCCGCCTGACATTAATTGAGGAATATAATCTCGCTATTGAAGTTCAGTACGCGGAAAAATGCACGGCTATTCCCTTCTTCTAACCACTTATGCTTCAAAATATATTAATGCCTCCGTATCTTTCTAAAGAAAAAGATCCATTCCGACTTTGGTTATTAAGTTTTCGGATGAAAGAAATGGTGCGATAGTACGGATAAAAAGAAACAGCGATATGCTGTTGAAAGAAATATCGCGAACATTGGCAGAAGTACCTGCTCCCTCCCTTTGCATCTCCTGGTACTCCGAAGGTGATAGCTTTGGCAGAATTGGAAGGAAGGTGTTATTGTTGGCAAGCGGATCAACGTCGCGTCGTACTGACAATGGCTGATGCTGCGCTTTCTTCGGTCCCCGATCGACGTTGCTTATGGTGTTCTGCCTGGACTTTTTCAGATTCATTATCAAGCATTTCTTCGCCGTCATGTGGCTCGAGTACGATCCAGAATGAGAGAAACGCTTGCCGCAATTGTTGCACTGGAATGGCTTTTCCCCGCTATGAATGCGCAGGTGCTCCTATGAGAAATGCCGAGAGAGCACGTATTATTAAAAGTGCCCACTTATCATCGCGATTCGCATGGCGTCCGAAGAAGAATGCGCGAAAATAAATTGCTCGAAACAACACGTACTAAATCATGCGATCGGAATGATATTATAATACGAGATATAAACTCGGAGACTGGGACTTCGGTGAAATTTCGAAACTTTATTATTGCTAAAACTAATAAACAAAGACGTCCTAAGACTGTGCCTTAGAAAAAAAAATTTGAAGTTTCTTCGATAATTTATCGTTAGGTTGTGTAACAATGTACTCTTCTCTCCTGGTCTACTGTAATCTAGTCAAGTCTACTTAAATATTATAGCCTAATTAATCTACTAGAATTGAGGAAAAACGGAAAAGATAAGCAAAATGGGCAGAAATGAAGAATGAATAATAACAGAATGAACATGTGTTTTAATGTATGATTATAGTCGAATTACTTTAAGGTGATGCTTGAACTTGAAGGCCTTCTCGCAATGAGGACATTTGAACTTTCGCAGAACGGCACTTTCATCATGACTGATCATGTGCCTCTGTAGTCGATAGACGTTAGCGAAAGTTTTGCTACACACCTTACAGGACTGTAACATTATTGAAAATATTAATCATATAATATATACAAGTTCACACACATGCACACTCACATATCGGTAACGTAGCGTAAACAAATTCTAAACGTAACGCGAATTTTGTAATCAAATAAGCTGCAAAACTATTAGGAGAAAAATAATTTTGCCGTTGTAACCAAACCATCGTTGTTATTGCATATTCGTTGCGACAGCAACAAAATTTAGTTGGCATTAATTAAATTATTTAATTAGAGCAGAAACGATTTTGTTGCCACGGCAGAAAATATTCTGTTGAATGAATCTATCCTTAGGATACGTTAACTTACTATTAGAACAAAATAGTGTTCAAAATGATTTTCCTACATTTATTAACTTGTTCTTATAATAAAATAATTTGTAGATTCAGCAAGATAATTCATCAAATGGCAATTAGTGTTTTTTAACAAATCTTTTTGCTATCCACGTAATAACTGACAGATTTGATTGCGACGACATAAAATTTGTTATGCCAATAAGTTATTTTCCTCCGTGTATGTCCTAACTTTGTCCTTCAAACCACTTGTCCAACGGACTATTAAATAACAAAAAGACCACATGCAATAAAGGAATCCTTTTTCTATATTTTCTCATTGTTCCCCTTTCGCGAAGGATTCGCTCCGGGCTCCCGTCAATTAATTCAGTTTTCCGGTAAATTGCGGCGTGAACTACACGATCTCATCGCGTCAGTCCTCAACATCACGGGGTTACGTCTATCTCGAGGACCTGTCAGAAGAAATCGGTCAAAAAGGTACAATAACCGGTAACCCCCCCCCCCCCAAAACCGCTACTACCACCCTCACTCCCACCGCTACCACCACCACCACCACCGCCACCGCCACCACCGCCACCATTATTATCACTCTCCTACCTAGAAACATTCCTACCTCCTCGTCAGAGAGAATCGCGTGCGAAAAGGGCGAAGCGGCGCTTCTCGGTGAAGAGAGCTGGCTCTCGCTCTCGGGATAATCGATAAGTCCGCGCGCGGAACTCGGAGGACCCCCATTCGCCGTGTGTGTCCTTGACGGGTCATCGCGATCACTCACCACTTGGGAGAATTGGGCGTTGAGATCGTGCTTGTCGATGGGATAGGATGTTTTGTGCGCGTCCTCGAGATGAAGCTGCAGGACATGGACGTCCCGACAGAGGATGCCGCACTGAGAGCACCTTTCGCCACCCTGTTGGTGGTGCTGCTGCTGATGCTGTTGTTGCTGCTGCTGCTTCGTCGAGCCACCCTCACCAGCTCCTCGCCCTCCGCAGCCACCTCCACCGCAGCCGCCACCACCACTACCACCACCGCCACCACCTCCATCACCGGCAATACTTCCACCTCCTGCGGTTGGCGCTCCACCCGCGCAACCTCCGCCCACCTCCGCATCCACGACACCTGCGTCGTCCTCGCTGCAGCCTGCAACACGCGCACACGTGGCAGGACTTTTATATCTCGCTTCGGCATCGCGCCATCGCGCAAAACACGGAGATCGAACCGCTCGCTTAAAACCGACCAACGTCATCGCGGGGGCGCGATTTTTTTCGCACTTCGGCGATTATTTTCGGATCGAATGCGCTATATTCCGAGAAGGAGAAGCGAGCGGTTACGCGAGCTTTGCAGCAGCAAAGAAGTGCGCTGAAAGAAGGATTTCGTAAGATTTGATCGTTGGACAGCCTCAACTAAATTGTTTGATTACTCAAATCAAATCACTTAGCACTGTGGTACAGCACATAGTACTAAATGATTTGATTACAGTAACCAGACAATTTTAGTCGAGACTATTTAACCAGACCTTATATAAGTCATTGTCACGAAATCCTTCATTCGGTCCGTAAAGCGTCGAAGTATTTTCGACGGTGCGATCGTTCATAGGGAAACTACGGTACACTGGAGTCGATTTCATTGATTGTAATAAGTAATTTATAAATTGGGCACCTAAGAAAGAGTCACTCGCGGTCGCAATATCTTCCAGTCGCGGTGAGAGACGCGCTAATGACTCCGGGCGATCATTCGGGACTTCGCGTCGGCGGGTCGCACGTGCAAAATTGGCCGCGATCAATCAGCAACGATGCGGCTATTCAGCAGCCCTGTATCGGTTTACACGCGCGCGGAGCTAATCGCGACTTCGCCAATTACCGATATGCATGGCCGCGCGTCAGTCGTAATAATCCCCGGCGCGTCGATCGCACGTGCGTCGAGCATCACGAGGACAATGTATAGCGCGCTAGCTGATACGTGGCGGTGTTAAAAAAGATAGACGCGTGCGCGATAGACACAATCGAATCTTACGGGGCGTAGTGCCAGGACGCGAGAGAAGAGAGAAAGAAATATCCGCGCGAGCGCTGCCAAATGTTTCGCGGCGCCGCTATTAAGCGAGCGCATCCGCATGCACTCACCACCGACGCCCACACCGCCGCCGCTGATCGAGCGGTGATGCGCGACACGATCTGAAATCGCACGGTCAGGTCGCGAAGAGAAAATTGCTCGAGTCCGGGAACGTGAGTCATACCAGGGTGGCGGCCGCCATGAAAAAGAATTCCCCCAAGGTGCGCTGAACCATACTGTCTTTTCCGTGTAATTATGCATTGATAATCCTAATAAGTGCTATTAATCTCAGACGCTCTACTTTTTCAAGGGAAGAACACCGAGGGGATGTATCCCTCGAGATTCAAATCTAATCAATCGAGGGATCCAAAGAATATCTCGACAAGATTGACAGTGTGGCTTCGATTATTTAGGTCTGACTTAGGTGGAACCGTTAAAATCAGACAAACGGTTGGATAAACAAGCGAATGGAAGGATCGAATTTTCGTCTCTCGCTCACCCGCAGCCACCCGTTCGCTACGCGATCGTTGCTTCTCCTCTGCCATTGTGTGGCACATGTGTCGCGCACGTGGGGTGGAAAGAGATGATGACGATCACGGGGGGAATGTACCGGACGAGCGGCATTGTGCGGTTCCTATAGGTGTGTATAATAGTGGCGTACAGAAAAGCGGAGCGGGAATCATGCACACACGTACATACGCACACGCGTAACATGAGAAAAAGTGGCACATGGCGGAGCCGCTCGAGCCTGGATAACTTTTCGGGCGCGCCCATTGTCAGCGGGACCGGATTTAAATGCCTGCGACGTATGATTTCCCACCAAGATGATCGCACGCTCGCAAATCCGGGGTTGACGTCGCCGTCGCCGCGAATCGCGACGTGTTAACTGTTTGGCGGTCACGACTCGAATGAATTCGTCGTTTGCGGAAAATTGCTGCCAGATTAATTGACCAGTGATACGATTAAGCCTAACACTTAGTTATTAACGATCAGGCTTCGTGGAAATGTACTTCTGCGTATTCCCCATCCATTTTCGTCTTTCGTCATTCACAACTTCGCGCTCCGATGAAGGCACGTCATTTGTGTACGTCAGAACACGTCAGGAAAGCTGTCGAACACTCGAATTAAATCTGGCTGATGGTGAACAATTCATGATGAGTAACACGATTTAATCTAATATTTAATCAATAACTAAATTCTCCCACGGAAGTATATACTCGTATCTGTCTATCTTCTACTTTCGTCCATTACTCTATTTACAGTTTTACGTTCTGACGAAGACACGTCATCCGAGTATATCGACGCAAGTCAGGGAAATGGTCGGGTGCAAGTTCTATAGGCGCATGTCTGGAAATGTGTAGAATTTACCGTAGCTATGCTCGCGCGATCGCGATGCAAATCTCATACCGAGCAACGCATATTAATCTCGCGTACGTACACCGGCTGCCGCGAAAGCGGCCGCTAGTCAATGCGCGCAAGTTCGCGCACCGTCGTAATTAATATGCTGTTGCGTCGGTAACTTCGCGAAATCGGAAGCAACTCCGAGCAACGAGTTGCGAGTAATACAGGCGCATCAAGACACTACCTATCTTAGGCGTACGTGAAATAAAGTGTGCCTACATCTCTTAATTAAAAGCCAAATGTTCGCACCGATTGATGATTCGGTCGCTGAATAATAATCGCCAATTCTATACGGAAAAATATTTATTTATATTATTATATTTTTGACAAATGTAATAATATAATAAATTATAATAACATAATATATTACAATATAATATATTATAATAATATATTATTATAATATTATAATAATATAAGAAACGTAAATTATATATATATATATATATATATATATATATATATAAACTTTGCTAGGGTCATAAATGATCCCTACCTTTCCATGCGGGGATTAATTAACATCAAATAAAAATTAGTATTAAAGAAAGTAAATATATAACAATCTAATATTTTTAATTGAAGGAGTCAAGATTTTGGAGCGATTGAGGAGAATTTCCTGAATTTTCTCATCAAATGCCAGGTGTTTACATTCTCTAATTCGGTCACCGGAAAATTGCTGCATCTACATTTGCCGTGCAAGCTTACAGAGCAGTAATTGTAACTCCTCCTGGCTGAGGCAGTATTTTTCGCAACGCTTACAATATAAAGTAGCGTTTGACATGGAAATAAAGGTTACTCACTCTACACTCGTGTATCACACAAGTCTAGAAAAATAGTCCGGTGCAAATGTTACACTATCTGATAATTTTATCCTCCCGCTAAGATTCGTAAATTTTCGCGGCCAACGTCTAGCGTCAGGCTCTTATTTGCTTATCGCTCGCATTGTCCCGATTAATAAACGATTATACGAAGAAAAGAGTAAGTATAGGAGAATATAACATTATCACTTGGCGGGGGAGTCTGAATTTAAATGAGATACGCGAAGACACGCCACCGGTTGTTCCAACCTCGATCAAGCTACATGGTAAACGGGAAGTCGGGTGTATCTGTTCGGATCGCGACTGCCCGCTCGTGCTTTCCACGAACGAACTTTGCTCTCCGTGAAGCCGATAAGACGTCGAAACGGGTCAGAGCCGTGACCTTTCTTGCCTTCCTATGTACGATCCGTGGAAGCTCGCCCGTCATAGAGCGTCTTTTACGAGCCGCGACGACGCTTTTTACTGCGCGCCCACCGTGACGAAACCGTGTTATATCGAGCGTTTCGAAACGACGTATCGCGATTCATCGACACTTTCTTCTCGCGCGGTAAATAAAAGGGAGAAAAACAGAGTAAATAATAGAGAGAAAGAGAGAGAGAAGACGAAAGTTAGTCTCCGCCATGACGACGTCGAATGTTTCGAGAACGCCGACAATGCGTGCGGACATGGTAAACGCGTCGGCGGAGAGCGCGTGCATGGCGAACGTGTGTCAACGTAGTTTCGGGGTTTCGGACTCGCGGGGAAGCTCGCGCATTACGGGATTTCGCCATCCTCGCGGGCGAAAAGCAAAGGGGGCTTAACTTTGCCGCGTTAGCGAGCGGGTGTTAACACATCCGACTCGCCGCGAGCGTGTCCATTTTCCCGCGCCGAGAAGGAGACACGCGCCGCAAATGACGTCAGTGGAATGTGGAAACGGGTATAGCAAATTGCGAGCAATACCGCGCAATCTCGGATAGCGGCACGCCGAGAGAACACGACTACGACGACACGACGCCGGAGAGGACGGAGGATCGCGTGACAAAAAAGAAACGACCAATAGAGCCACCTTGTGTTTCACGTCGCGGCGACGTTGTGTAACGATCGCGTCGAGAGAGAAAAAGACGTCGATGAAAAATATTCCCATATTAGTTCTAAACACAGTGCTCACGCATCCGCATTATCTTGCTTATTAGGTGCGGTACGAGCCGCGAGAGTCTTCGTGTGGGTAATCGATAAGCGCATCATCGTGTTTACGTGTTTAGCCTCAATTACGAAATATTAGCTAAAAAGTTGCTCCGAAGACTAGATTATTACGACACTTCTTCCTACGCGGAGGAAAGGATTCAAAGTTATTCTATTATTAATTATATTTTACCTTTGTACCCCCCACACACACCGCTCTCAACATATTTTACCTGCAAATTTTTTATGTAGCTGAAACAACTTGAGCTTATTAAGTTGAAAACTGAAATATTATTGATTTACCATTCGTGTAAACTTGGCTTGAAATATAAGATTAAATTTGTATAGCTTGGAATTAATATTTAATATAACAGTAAAGTATTCGCGGATATAATTATACTGAATGAGATTGTTTCAATAATAATTAAGGAAAAAAATTTCGAGTTCGGTTCTTTTTGGTGTATTTTTTTTTTTTGGAATAACAAAACATTGACAAAACACGTGCACTTGGCTCTTTTTTACTCTTTTTTTTTTTAAACAGGTAATTTTATTGTTTTTTTACTACGACGCTTCTTTCCACGCGAAGGAAAGAATTACACTCGACTATGTTATTGCTTTCATTATCTCGTTGAATTAATTAAGACATCTCGAGTCTAACATTGTTATGTTAAGATGCGGCAACCTCGGTATGTCTCTCGATAACGTGTCTTTATTGGCGGATTGTAAAATCTATTCCTTCCTCTTTTTGTTATCGAAGCGCGTGACGCACGTAACCCAATTTCGCCGAAGGCATGCGCGCACAACGGCGCGAATCATCTATTTGTGGACGAATTTGCAAGACGACGTTTCCTGGGATTATCTCCGCAGACGGTAGCATCAATTGTTCCTCGAGAGTGGGCAGCTCGCGACACGCGATTGTCGCGGAAGTCTCTGAAATTTCGCGCAAAAGCGACCGGAAAGACGTGATCTCGCGAACACGAAATTCAAAGGAGACGTCTCACCGGAGCGAGCACATCCATGCAATTTTCCCGCACGACCTTATAAATAGTTATCCCGTCGATTATTATAAATGAACAATGACTAATAGATATATCAAGAAGGCTATTAATGATTATTGATAAAACACACCTCTCTTATAATTGTCTAATTTTGCACGTAATTGTCGCACAAATTCCAGAAATTTCGCGCAGAAATAACCGAAGAGAAATATGACAGTTTCGCGTGCGCAAAATATCACAGCATATAATGCAGCGAGACATGATCTGTTAATTGTTTCTTTATAAAGCTTTATAACACAGAAAAAAGTACTAGAATCAAGCAAACGTAATTACCTGTTTTTCAACCTCTTAAATCAAGTAATATTTTGATACAACGAGAAAGATTAATAATAAATAACGAAATATGATGTTCTCTCGTATGACCATATCAAGCTCGCTAACTTCTTTGTTCGAATTCCTGTGCGGTCTGGATGTGATGCATCGCAATAAAATGCGCACTGAGGGAACATCAGCGACGATTCCACGTATTGGCCATGTCGCGGAATATATCGCGGATTTATCGCGTAACAATCGCTCGATTCTCGAGAATAATGCGGTCGTTCACGTTGTCATTACTCGCACCGCTCGGTATGCATATCGGTATGCTCTCGCATGCTCGTCTGGCGTTGTGGAAACCGCGATTTCCGATGTTTCTTATTATAACGCTGATACATTTACGGTTCGATGTCATCGATCTCGCGTTCAAGCTTCCTCGTCTAAACGCGCATTTTAACACAGGTGCACGAGACGTTGTCGGGGAAAATTGTAGGAAGACGGGAAGATTCAGAAAAGCACCCGAAAGGAATATTGTTAAATCAAACTACAAGTTCCTTTATTTTTCAAGCACCGCCCGTCTAAACGGTATGTCGATAAAAAGCAGCAATTTCCGGCCTTTATTCTCTCAACGTTGATGCATTTACGATTCGACCTCATCGATTTCACGTTAATTATTTAATTAACACTTTTGGGTGCGCACAAGAGCATGAGACGGAGCAAAAATCGCGGGAAGATCCAAACAATATCTCCGAGAAAAATATCGTCAAATTAAACCGGCCGGCCAACCGTAAAAACTGGAAAACGGCTTATCTTTTAAAGACTGCCCATCTACACGGCATACCGATAAAAAAGCAGTGGGCAGGGCTTCGAAGAGCAAGGGAGGACAGGCGTGCGCTTACGTCATCCGACAACGTGGATTAAGCCGTAAAGGCGCGTTCGTACGGCGCCGAAGATACGGACGGACGAACCGGTCCCTCGCGTGCGCTCCCGCGTCGCCGACGCTGCTCTTGCCACGGTGCGAAGTAAACGATTTCTCGGAGAGGTCATTGAGCTTGATAGGGCGCGGGCGGCCGCCATCTTCCAGAACGTTAAAACCACTTCGACGCGCTCCCATAAACGAGCGCCGCGGTGGGTAATCCGCGCTGCCCTACCAATCAAAATTATTGAGCAACCGTCGAGCCCGGGCCGAACGAAAAAGAAGAAACATAAAAAAAAGAGGAAGAAGAAGCGAAGAAAAAAAAAACACAGCCAATGATCCGCCAGTATTGCGAGATCGATGAGCGTGGAGAAGGCAAGATGGCGGGCCGAAAAGAAGCCACGTGTACAGCGGTGTTTGCGCCGATTTATCGCGATTTCCCGGCCGGCTCGTGTACTTTTACGAGTGAAACTTCGCGTTCGAAGTCTACTGCACTATAAGAGAAATAAAGTCTTTGTTATTTGTAATTACAATCGCATAAGTGAAAGAATCGCAATCAGGAAAAACATTTGTCCAATAAGAATTACTCTGTATACAAAAAGAATACATAATTTATTCGAGTAAATGTTACTTGTTGCAAATATTTTATAAATTTAAATATCCGCAAATATATAAGTTCATCATATAAGTATCAAATTTATTCGAAATATATCCTGAATTCTAGTATATAAGTTATTTCAATCAAGAATATTAAATTAAAACAAACTACGGTGTGTGTGTGTGTGCTTATTCAAATTAAGATTTTAACTTCGATAAAATGAATAATATTCTTTAAAAGAGAATAAATTCTTTCTCTGAGCACGTGATAATGAGTTTTTCTAAGATTTGTAATAAATATATTTCAAGACTATAATCAAAAAAAAAAAATTCTTTGTTGAAGATAATTATTACTCAAAAGAAGAAACGTAAAACTGAGTAATCGCTTAGCAGTAGAATGATATTTTTCTCTATCAGTGACGATAATTTTACATATTATCACTATTATTTTTTGGGTTATCCTAGAAGAAGTTGAGGCTTAAGAAAATAACTAGAGTTTTACTGGGATTTCTCTCAGTGCGGAGCGACATCCGTTCGAGATTCACCGAAGAGAGTACAATTTCGTCGTCCGCTCGCCCTCCGTGAAAGTTCGTTCGTGAAAGATGAACTCGTCTGCCGATCGCTTCTCTCGGTGCGAACTATCGCGACGTCAACGTTAACTACCTGTTAATGCAACCGTACGGAATGTTTCGTAATGATGGTTTCGCGCGACGATAACGCGAGCGAGTGTAAACAGATCGCGGTCGGCCGAATCGTGCTAGAAAACAAGAAGACTCGAGTTACGAAAATGGATGAAACGGGTTACACTAATCGGTTATCAGCGAGAGACCACGAACCGTATGTCGTCACGGAGTGCCGTTATCTACGAGGGAGAATATTTACGCTAAAATCTCTCGATTATTATTGGAACACGGTGAGAAAGACGCACGGGCGATATTGAGCCGCTCGCGGGCTTATCTGTCAGGAGTCACGCGAATCGTATCGTTTTACCGAACACGACTCGTTATCACGTCTAAACGGGCTGTCGCGAGAAGACACTGCGTCCGCTGTTTCTTGAACAAGAAGCTTTCCTCCAAGAAGGATGACACTTGTTACAATGCCTCGCGGCGACATTGTGCACACTGCGCGTTAGCGACACTCGCCGGTAATTTTAATTATTGGAAAGTACCGCTCTCGTGATAATGACGCTTCGACGTGTCTCGGATAATAGAAATATACGCGGCATCGTATCGACTCGTTACTATTCCATAATATTATTATTCTGTAATACTTCCTCTATATTATACTATAATATTCTTCTGTTATATAATATTTCTACCATCATTAGCTCTCCATTGGCTATTCTTCTAATAGAATTTCACGCGCGATATTTTCTCAACATGTTATCAATGCGTCGCTGACGATACACTCAATTCGTGTAAATAAACTATTTTCAAATTCGATGTAATATATAATGAACAGTATCTTGATTTACATATCTCTTCAAGAAAGATAAGTTTTTTTAAAATATTTATACGGCTAAGTAAATTTCTGTTGCGCTGCCAACGCGTGTCAATAATTCATGTTGACGGATCACTGGTGCGGCACAAAAATACCGCGTTAAATTTTCTTCTTTCCTCAACGCGGCAGTAGCATTTCCTCCTGAGTTACGAAATCGAAATAGCGTTCATTCGCGGCCATCCAGATAATATCACTCACACATTGCGGCGGATTACTGGCTGAAACGGACGGAGCGCCGACGAAAAAAAAAAGCACGTTCGAAGAGCGATACGATAATAATACATTAAACAGCGAGATAAAAGAATACAAGAGATCGCGGGACGCGTCAGCCAGGGTCCTGGCCCATTCATCCGGATGAAACGCCGGGCGAACGTTATCTTCTTCCCGCGAGAACAATGTGCCTCCCCGTGCACGTGGATGCACGCGTTGCATAAACAGCATCGAGTTCGGGGCTTCTCCCTTTGAAGCGCGCCGATAAAACTCCGTCGAAAGAAGCCGCACGATCGAACGGTTCTCCCTAAGGTATGACGGGAGCTCCTATTTCCGGCTTCATCGCTTCATCGTAATTCCGAATGTTTTTTGAATCTTTCCTTCTCTCTCTTTCTTTCTCGAAATTAATCCTCTAACGGTAAAATTAAGATCGGACGCGATTCCACAGCTCGTTTATTCTAGTGCGTGCACACGCTGTTTCTCTTCTTAAGCAATGTTTCACGTTATTACAATCCTTTCGTACATTAATTTGAAAATGAAAAATGAACGGAACAGAGCGTGGAGTCGGACCCAACCACACTTTCCTGGATACATTTGAAATCCATCTTGCCGTTAGAGGGGTCGGAGGTATTTCGCCGAAAATGCGTCCGCGGGAACGTCTAATGAGAAATTCCGCTCTGTACTCGACACGGAACGGGATTTTTTAGCGTGTTACGGTTTTGCACGCGCATAGAAAACTGTCTAAACTTAGCTCGCGACAGAAACAACGGGCGCTTTCCTGTGCACGCGCGACTTTTGTTTGGCGATCGCGGCCGCGAGAGACGGAAATAAGAGCCGGCGCGATTTCTCGCGCGCGCCAATATTAGGAATGGTTAAATATTTTCGTACGAGGCACGACTCCGTTGCTACCTGACTGGCCCGGTGTATTAATCGCCGTATCAGGAACGCCCGTTCGCCGCAGGAAGCACGTCGAGTTTGACTTTTGGCTGAACGCCTTCTTTACTTCGAGTTACGTGCCTCGGCCGCGCTTCCGAGAGCGATCCCCGACCGGTTCGAGCTATTTGAGAAATCGCGTGTCTTTTCACCGTGCTCTCGTTATCGTTTCAAAATAGCGTTCGAACCCTTCGCGGTACCGCGCCGGGGCTAAGCCGGCGGGGCGTCGTATTTCGTTCCGCGCCAATACTACAAACCATTACTCTCCTTTATACATTTGATAATGCACGTAGCGTAAATATTTTAGTAAAAGCGTGTTATTGCATCAGTTCGATACTGAAATATCGAGATAAACACGAACTGCGCAATAACGTCCGGAAGTGGCGGGATTTCTACGGACCGGCTGGAAAGAAGCGCCGAAAATAGCCGCAGAGACTGCTAAGGGTCAACCTTTACAATCACCCTCGAAAAGCAAACGGACGTTCCTACTTACTTCGAGAAGTCACGCTTGAAAAAAAAATATATTGGAGAGAATCGGTGTTTTCTTGCATCATAATCGGCGAGACGCAGCTAATCGCGCGGCGAGCGACGACCAAGGTCCAGATAAACGAGTGACATATCGCGAGAATGGTAAGACTCATTAAAGAGTAAATCGGCCAAGGTAGATCTTGCGTGTTCTACGCGTGAACACGCGCGCGTGTGTGTGTGCGTACATGTGCAAGGCGAAACGAATGAAGCCAATAAATTGGACGGTGTTATGCAGATACGAGTCGACTCAGAAAACTGAGAGAAGAAGCCACTTGTATGCACGGCATGCGTACGGGCATGTGATCGACGATATACCGCTCTGCGTTTTAAACCCGACTCGACAGGCTGAGAGTACAACGATGGCGCAGCAACTCGCGATACCTGGAAAGAGCCTGGTGTCATGGTTTCTCGTGCGCAGAAATCCACGAGTGCGCTGAGAGGAATCCCACTTAAATTATAGCCATCTCCTTAACTATATCTTGTTCTGGTCTAACGCCCGAAAAAGAATAGTAACGATGTGCATATAAAATTATTATCGCTGACACTGTAGTAATGTTCATTAAAAAAAAAAAAGATATGATTCTCCTGGTTATAATTCTTTCACTCTCTTATGCACGGAAAAAAAGGTAATGTCCACGGCTCAAAATTAGTGGTACATAATACAACTGAGATTTAATTAATTTTAGTTTTAGCTCTCACAGCTAAAAAGTAAGTCTGGTAACTGAATTTCAATTGTATTGTATGGACAGCTAATTCCTTTTTTCTGCGTAGTTACGAGTACTAACAATTTTTTTTTCAGTGTGTGACACCGATCAGTCTCTCATTTTCCTCAATGTGCGACGCGATAAGTGTGTTTTTGCATTTCGGATACGTTTCACGTTTTCACGCTCTATCACGAGATTAACTGAATCGCATCCGCCTCTTAAAAATGCGAATTTTGCAGACAATGTCATGCCGCTTGAACGTTAAAAATGTTGCTAGTTTAGGATCAGCTCGGCGCATCAACATCGCATGATCGCGAATTCAATCTTATCACCATCTTAACCTTTCAATTCACAACAGATACCATCTTAATACCTGTCAATCTGTTCTTCACCGTTTTTTATGTACCTTAGTGCCTGGTCTATTAGCCAAGTGCTAATGAAAGAAAAATTGTTTCAAGAAGCAGAGAAAAATAATTGAAAAAATTAATGTATCTGTGAGATATATTGCAACTATTTACGAGTGAAAAATACTGCGACTAACGGAAGGTTAACCCTTATCGGACACTAGCTTTTTATGCGCGATTCTCACTAGGTTGTAGCTGGTTTCGGTAAATATGCGAACTTGTCACCTCCTACGTGACGTACGACCGCAGCGACGAAGTATTGTTGTCACGTGAGAGATGACTTACGACCGATAAGGGTTAAATTCGTAAAATCGAATCAGCGTTGCATCGAGCAAGTCTGAATTACACGAAAGGACCATTCGGTGCGTCAATTCCATTCTTGCGCTTCGATCGCGAGAACGAAATTCACGCGGGCGACTTTTTTCGCGCGGAATCGCGAGACGGTTTCTTCTCACGATGCGCATATGCAGCGACGATGTCACTGGAACCGGTATCGATTTTCACAAATCGCGAGATAGCGGACGGTCAACAGAGTCAATCGCAGATGCCGACTCGTCCGTTAAACGCCACCTTATATCACGCGCGCAATATGGGTCGCGCACGTGCGGCGGCACGCGTTCCGCGAATTTTCCGAGGTTCATCGAGTCGAAAACCGGATGACGAAGTCACCCGTGATATTTCACGTCTTGCCCCCTCCTCCTACGCGATCTACGTCGAATTCTCGATGAAGCGCCTTCGGGCCCGATTTGTGTCTTTCTCTCTATCTCGCCCTCTCTCTCTCTCTATCTAACGTCCTAACCTCTTTAAACTGTCGGTGGATTCTCTTAACGAAAATATAAATGCGTTCCTACCTCTCAATATTTGCGTGTACCACCATCCTAGTATCTCACTCACATTATTCTTTTGTTTCAGCTCCAGTTTCGACACTTTCTTTCTTTTTCTTAAAAGCGAATTGCAGCGAGAAATAGAAAGGGGAAGTTAATTACTCAAAATTGCGATCCGAATATCTCCGGCTGTCTCCAAGATGAATTGACCGTGTTCGTCGCCTTTAAATGCACTTCGGGCGAGTCATGCTTATATTCGTACTCGTGGGACTAACCTTTGAACGAATTTCGAACGAGAGTCATGCTCATATTCGCGCGAGCCGGTGCCTCGACGAAGGTTACGTCCGGCGGCTCCTCCTCCTCCCCCTCCACCTCTTCCTCCAGCTTCGGCTCCTCGACGTTGCAGCCAGGTTCCGTTCACAGGGAGGGGGACGTCAGCTCGATCCTCGCCTCACGAGTTCGTCGTCCATTGACGTTCTAAGGCACAGCGGCGCATCATGCCTGTCAACTTTGAGCCTCGCTTGTTTCTTCCTCTGTCCCTCTCTCTCTCTCTTTCTCTCCTTTATTTTAACCGCTGCCTCCGCGATTTACCTCAGGCGCGGACGACGCGCATGCGAACGTCCCGTTATCACTGTCTCGTCATTCGGCGATCTATCCTCCCTTCGCCGTGGCCACTTCAGCACCACTGCGATCAATCGCGATTCGATGTGATCGAAACGTACGACTCATTTCATCGTCGCGCGACGCGGCTACAACAGGCAGGGCGACGTCGCGAGATGACGACGGTGATGACGACGACGACGGCGGCGACGGGGGCGGGCGTCGCGACGCCAACTCGAGACGACGTCGGGCACGACGAGGCACGAGAACGCGGTGCGACCGGCACCGGACATTAAAAGCGCGCGCGTCGCGAGTCAACGCGAGCGGCGGCGTCTCGCGCGGACAACTTCAGGCCGCCGGACCGCCGCTGTCAGCGAAATATCCTCCCGCGGTCGACGAGCCGCGACGTGCTGCAAGCCGGAGCAGATGGAGGCACGGAGGAAACGCCGAGAAGAAAGAAAGGATTGACCGAGAGGAGAGGGAGACGAGCGCGCGGAGAGACGACGGGACGGTGAATTCCAGTCGTCGAAAAGCGCTCGCGGTGTGGTCCGCAGTGGTCCGCCCGTTCCGCTCCGTTCCCCTCACTTATTCCCCCGTCCGGATTCACAGCCGATGCGACGCCGCGACACGACGCGATGTACGGATTATGCGGGGCGATTCTACGCGACTGCTCCTCCCGCGAGGATCCCAGGTAAGACTTCCGCCGTCTCAGGCGGATTCAGCAGGTCGATAAAACGCCGTGAAACGTATCGGTGACACGTCGTTGGGGACGCGTGCTGTCACTCGGACTCTTAACTTCTTGCGTTTCTTCCGTTCCCGCTTTAGTCGCGTTCGTCGCGCCGCTTATCGTGATTGTGCTCGTCGTGGAGACGGTGTGGACGGTTAAAACGCTGCGATCGCGCGGCTATCATACGTCGCTCTTTTGTAAATAATCACTGCACTCGCGCGCGTATATCTCGTGAGATCGCACAGACGCGTGGAAACGATGAAGAGAGGAGCAGGGAGGAAGAGAGAACGAGCGAACGAGAGAAAGAGAGAGACCGTGTGTGTATGTATGTGTACGTGCGTGCGTGATAGGCAGGGAGAGAGAGAGAGAGAGAGAGAGAAAGGGAGAGGCGAGACGGTGCACCGATTCTAACCACGAGAATATCTCGAATGAGAATGCACGTTCTTTTTTCTTACTCTTCTGGCGCTTCTCCCGCTCCTCCTCCCACTTCTCTTCCTCCACCACCTTCGCTTTCTCGGTCAAGACACCCGTCTTCGCACCGCAGGGGGGAAGAAAGAAAGGAAGAAGTGAGACGGAGGGAGAAAGAGAGAGGGAAAGAAAGAACAGAGAACACTACCGCAAAAAGTCGGGCATTAACGAGGAATGATCAGGTGTGTGACGGAAAAGGGACGCGAAAACGAAAGACGAGGGACAGATAGCGGTAGGCGGGTAGATAGAGAAAGAGAGAGAGAGAGAGAGAGAGAAAACGGGGAAAAAGCGAAAGAGTGCGAGAGACGGACGCGTCGCGTCAGGGCATAGCAGAGACGGAGAGACAGACAGTGCGGGCGAGGCAGAAACGTTCAGTGCGTTACTAGCAGCCTCGCGCCGAGCAGCAGCCGAGAGAAGCACCGGTAAAACACGCTTCCCTAACTAACACACACGGAGACAGATCGGGGACTGCTTTGGAGTTTACTATAGGATGGGACGGATGGTGATGGCGGCTACGTAGCCCTAGCAGCCACCGCCCCCATGTTTCTTCTCTCTTTCTCTCGAGCGTGCGCTCGACGGCGTCCCTCTCCCGTTTCGCCCTGCCATCGCCTAGCGTGGAGTCAAATCTCCCGCTCCGACTTCGAAATCGCTCTCCCCCGCTCCACCGGCATCCGACGATGGACACGCTGGAGCCCCTCTCTCTCTCCCTCCCGCGCGCTACCGCCCCCACTCCCGCGACTACCATCCGATGAAACCTCTCCCCTATATCCTCCTTCTCTTCCACCCACGGCAGTGCCGTCGCTGTCCTCCCCTCCTCGTTTTCTTGTGCCCTCACCCCTCGTCTCTACGCGCCCTCGTCCGTCCTGGGGCCGCGAGATGTTATCCTCGAGCGATTCGTGCGTGTGCTATGTATCCGTCTATCCGTGCCGTGCCGTCGCCATATCCCCTACCTGCGTCGCGCGTCCCGCCGGCGTGTGCGTCGGCCGCAATCAAGATCAGGACCGTAGCTCTCGCCGGGACGCGCCCTGCTCCAATTCACACCGGGAGGAGGACGATGCGCGAACAAGGTAATTATACTTTCTTCGTCCTTCCGACGCGGGTAGCGACACGTGTGCTTTCGGATGGATTTTGTGAGCGATTTCTCAAGTCAAAAGGACGTGTTTTCCTCGCCTCCTTTTCTTCAATATTAATCTCACTGTGTGTGTGTATAAAATAACGTGTGCGATAATTGGTCAGAGTTACAGTAAACATTTCTTTAAGACTTTGCTTAGGAAGTGTTAATATGTACCTGACATTAATATTTCTTTATTCTTGTGGTAATATTGTATCTTATGCTTCGCAATTTATTGTCCTTTCGCAATCGCTCTCAGAAGCGTAGATTAATGAGAAGCGATACCTTGCTGATGATCGTCGTAGGATCGAAATGACCGGGTCGAAGGAAGAGGGAGTAGATTTATATGTTTCCGTGGTAGTGGTATGTTCACGAATGTATCGACAAAGCGGCTCCTTATCGCGACGCGCTGGTTAACCGGAAACCACGGTATCTTTGGCTCAGCGGCACGCGGACGTTGTTGCTCCGTTCTTTATCTGACAAGTGGAAGGATGCGCGCGTAGTATGGAGATGCGTGTGGTATGGTCGTTTCCTTCAAAACGTTGATGGGCCTCCGTCGAGGGCCGGCCTAGCCGGAAGAAAATGGTGCGTCGTATCTCGAAAAGGAGGGAACTGAGCTAACCTGCGGGCTATCACGGGAAATGGTAATGGAACAGAAGCTGCTTTCTTCGTCATTCGACACGGCGATTTTTATCGCGAGTCGAATGCGCCTAACGTTCCCGATGTATTTTATTTTTTTCCGAGCCTCGTCCTGTACTGACGACATACTTGCTGCATTTCTCTCAGCTTTTGAAAATTACCGACGCGTTACTATATTTTTTACGGGCTAAAATTGGTAAGGCAGCCACGGGCGCTAGTCGCTTCGCTTACATTGCGCGGCATTTGAATTAAATTAAATTGTTGCCCTCCCTCGCGCGACTTCGCGGCGTATATACGTGCGATGCGTTGCAAAATGCAGAATCGATTTTTCCCAAATGCGTGCACAATGCGCATGGCACGTTCAACGAGGTTAAACGCGAAACGCTAATTAAACGCGGTGAGGACGACGGGGCAACGAGCGCGATAACGTTCGTACTCGCAGTTATCTGCGTTTAATTCCCTTGACTTTTCACCGCTGCGGAGTGCGCGATATGTTCGCGGTACGAACGGGGTTTTCCCTCAACGCCGTAATGTACAATGTGGAGATGTATTGGTCTCCGCGAAAATTCATGTAAAATTTTCTATTTATTTCCTTTTTACAAATATAGCTAGAGTATAAATATGGACGTTTTTTGTTTTATTTAGACACATCACGGTCAGTAAAATAAACTTTCTCTAAATAGTGTTTATATTTCGGCTCGGGTTATTCCGATTGTGGAAACGCGCGTGTAGATATACACAACGTAGATACACGATAAAATATTCACTGAAAATGATCCACTGAAATTTTGGTGTAACTTTAACGTGGGAAATATGTTAAAAAGTACACAAATATATGTTAAATTAACATATTCACCTTGTTAAAGTACATTAAAATTTTTGATTCATTATTAACACACAATTTTTTACCGTGTATAAATAATTTTAATATGATTTCGCTCAGTCGAATAATTTTCTTCCTTTATCTGTTCATTCTTTTTGCCATCTCAGGACTTTACATTAACGGTTTAATATGTGTGAAAAGTGGAGGATTCTTGATATTACAGAACGAGCGCTTTCGAGATCATTTCCGTGCCGTCTTATTTTTATCTCGCGACGTTGAAATATTCTCCTTGATGAAATATTCACAAGTTAAGACGTGCGTGGTTTTTTGCCCGGCGTGGACGAGGCTAGATCGGTATGTGTCACGAGCTTTCGTCGCACTCATCGTCCCGCATCAGCCGGCCAAGTTGACGTAGTTAATCAATTGGCGGACCGAGTGTTTCTTAGTCACGGGGTCTTCCAAATTCAGCGGTCGGAATCAATGTGGCGATCCCATTTCCTTCTTGACGCCTCTCTCTCTTTCTCTCTCTCTACTTCTCTCATCTTTCCACGAGCACGCCCGCTCCTCGTCGCGTACGCGTCATCACGAAGGCAGAGAGACCGGCGAAGTGGTGTAGCAGCACTGTCCGTTACTATTATTAGTGTGCAGCTGCCTGCGAATTACTGAATGAAAACGAAGGACCGCCTCGGAACAATGTCCGAGGGAAAGGAAGAAAGAAAAGAGAAGGAGAGAGAGAGAGAACGATAGAGTAAAGAAAGAGAGAGAGAGAGAGAGGTGCCTCCGTGCAGCACACAAGAGCGAACGATACCGTTAAACAACAGGCGTCGTCGGGCAATGATCGTAATCGGAGTCGAACTGCCATTGAGCGCGTAGACATGCTACAAATTAATCGGTCTTTGCTACGTAACTGAACTCTTTCTCGATGGATCCCTTTGCGACATATCAATTTGAAGAAAAGTAGCTTCGATTGTATGTAAAAGCGGGGAAAAATAATTGCACGCTTGCGGTCCCGAAGACACGTCTGAGACACACATCAACGTTCGCTCATAGATTCGCTTATTCCTTGTTTCGACCTTCGTCTTTCGAGCACATTGATGATGCACGCGCAGCTATTTACAATCGCCTTGTAAATTTCCATCTTGTCATCTTTTGATTCTTTCGCATATTGTATGTTTCACCTCTAACGCGTACATCGTGTTTTATTTCTTAACATTGTATCTCGCTTCGACACGCGCGTTATCGCGCGATTGCGCCGATCACCCGCGTCCGATTTGTAGTCGGGAGGGCATCGCTTCGGGGCGAGAGATGGTCTGCGGAAGATCAACGAAGAGAGCGCCGAGCCGTCGTGCTTGTCGGCGGTGGCGGCGGCAACGAACGAACGAACGAAAATGTATGACACTTCCTCCCGCGTTATATTTTTTGTGTCGGTATGTTAAACGAGAGGCGTCGAGAGGCAGCGATCGCGCGATACCGAACGGCAGCCAGAGAGAGGAAGCGAGAGAGAAAGAGCAGAAACGAGAGCGGAGCAGAGCGGAGAGCAAACCGCCTTCTATTCGGCCAGTACTGGCAATTAGAGCCAATAGCGCCGTGCTCCCTCTTTCCTCCCTCTTCCTCCCCGACTTGTCTCGTCTTTAATCACGCTGCTCTCGAGGTGTTGAATTTCTTGGTACGATGTTAATCTTCCCCTTTCTGTTAACGACGCCCGTCATCGTCGAGGCGTCTTGATGAGTAACGCCGACTGGTCGGCTCGACTTAAACGCGATTTAAACGCGATGCGATCGATAACGCTCTGTTAGAGAGAGGCCATCGTATAATATAAATTTACTCGCGCTAGTGTGTACCAGATGTGACCGAGATGTAGATAGATAGAAGAAAAAAAATATATATATATGTAGAGAGAAAGAGAGAGAGGAGAAAGTAGCGACGGTAAAAACTGTTTCCAAGGTCAAAATAATTTGGTTTCTACGTTTCAACTGGAAGCTAGTCAAAGCTACATCGTGCAATTCGGGTACTTCAGATTGCCCGATCATCGCGAATGATCCGAGTGTTTCGGGGGAGAGCTCGCAATTGGCTAGACCGCTGATACAAAAGAGAAGGAACAGTTAACCAGCATTAACATTGACTAACATTCGCACGCGATAAAGATAAGAAAGCTGAAAAAGTGACGGTTGAAAAATATAAGCGACAAGCTCGCGTGTATCGATGAGTGTTCTGATGACACGGCGATCAGTAGTGGTTCGTATCGCTATTATCGGCAGCTAGTATTAGTGCTATCGATAGCACTAATAGCTATCACGGCTATCAGCCCCACGACCGTGGGGATGCGCGTGGTTGATACGGTACTGTTTGATCTCCGGCGCGTCGTGGTCCAGACGCGACGCGGAGATCACCGAGCACGCTCGAAGCGCACCGAGCTCGGCGGGGAAAAATAGGAGCGGCGCGCGAAGTGGGAAGGATCTCCCCCCCTTCTCTCCCCCGGCACGGTAGCGCTCGGTATCGCACGTGGAGGGGAATTCCCCCTGGCCGGTGCCGCGGTGGCCACTCTGTCCCTTTTTGTTGCCGCCCATTAGGCGCCACCGCAGCGTGATTCGCAACTGTGTTTCTTTATCTTCGGCCGTAGCCGAGGCGAGTTCCTGCGTATTTCTTTTCCTCTCTTTAGATCGTTGTTCTCTGTCGCTCCTACAGTCTCATCCAACTTCCCCCTCTTATCGTCCGTCTACCTTCGTCTCCTTCCGTTGCTCGCGTCGATTCCGCGCGGCTCCTCTTTCCTCTTTCTCGCCCTCTCCGCTCGCTATCTCTCTCTCTATCTATCTGTCTCTCTAACGCGCGCGCTTTTCTTCACGAGATGAGACAATGATCGCGTGAATCAGCGACCATAGGTATGACAATCTCCCCGTGTTTGCACGAAAAGATAAATTGCTCTGCGATGCGCTTCGCGGTTTAAAGTCCTTGGAAAATACACTCCACCGCGGATACTTTGTACAGCTTTGTGTCTGCGCGCACAAAGTATCGCACGCGCGCCATTCCCTCCGATATCGCCGAGTTCCCCTTTGTGCCACCGATCCCTCGACTTTGTTCCTCCACCTTGCTCTCACTATTCCTTCTTTACAGCCTGGACGATCGCCTCGTGCGGCCGATAGTCGCCGGCGACGAAGAGAGATCAATGACTCGCGGAAAGAAATCCGAAGATTCGTGACGCCCTCTTCTCGCCCGAGCTTTCCTTGCGCAAGAGAATCTTCGACCGAGAAAACCCGGCTCCGGTGTCCTTCAGGCGGATGTAGAGTGGTCACGAGATTCATTCACCCCATGATTGTCTTTGAGCGTAGAAAAAACCCGAACAGCTTGAGATCATCCAGCTGGTTATCAAAGGATGACGTTATCAAGGTATAAATTCCTTATTGTTTCTATTAAAACTTATCATTTGTCCCTTGTTAAGTATAGTTAGTCACGGTAGATTATAAATTTGATTGATGAAGCGGACGCAGTTTTGCGTTCGTTTGGCTTTCTCTACTATTCTCGGGTTCCAATCCCTGCGTCTGTTCTCGCGTCGGTATGCCCGTAAAAAAAGGTGTGGGATTATCAGAAAAGATTCTTTGACCATCACTCAATAAACGCGATTCCTCGAAGAGAACCTTTATCGGTCCTGTATTCTTTTTTTGCGACTCAAATTTCAACGTATCTTGTGACTTTTAACCTTATCCGTTTCCCGTCACCTAGGCGGTAAACGTGAAGTTTCACGTTTGAAAATCTCTCGGAGGAAATGATTCTTCCAAAGAACTCGTGTGACCTGGTCGATGTGAAGCAGGCAACAGAAAGCTTAAGCCACACCAGCTAGGTGGACAAAAACCTGGCCTCTTCTTAACAACTGCACGCCGCCCGAACACGTGTGCTGCACTTGCGTCCCTCCTCTGATTCTCCTTCTCTTCTTCTCTTGTGCCATCAACGCGGTGTCCTTATTTGCCCTTCGCCGCTCAGCGTTTCTGACAGTTTCTGTATATAGTTTTTCCCATTTGGAGTTTTTTGTTTCTCCGAAAATGTTGGTTGTTTTAGTATCAGGTAGAACGTGTGACGCATTTCGAAATTAAATTAGAGGTATCAAATATAACTTCTTGCGTCTCAGTGTATCTGAAACAAGATATTCGACACAAAGTTATACTTGTAAATCGATATTGAAAAATTTGAGAATGTCAGAAACTGGAGATTCAGTGCCCTTCGATAAAAATCGAAGGATCAAGAGATGATACTTCATCAATAATACGAACAAGAGACAGTCGGGGCTTTCAGTGGTTCGATGATAAACGCTGGGGATCGCTGTTATTCATTGCTGTGGTTTTATCATACAAATAATATGGAACGCGTCAGGGAACACCGGGACACAGGTTTCCTGCGTATTTCCTTATCATCCAAAGGTTTAGATTACGCGCCACATTACTCATTACCGCGGAGTATGTGTGACTATAAAAATAAACGGCAGTCAAAGCCAATATCTCTCACTCCATGACGACACTCGGAAGACAAACAGAAATCTGAACTCGCATGCGCGTTTTCTCGATCGTAACAAATATTTGCCGCTTGACCCCGACAGGGGAGAGGGGTGAGCAGAGTAGGAGAGCAGAGAAAGAGATAGGAGTGCATTATATCTAATGGTTAACTTCGATCGTGTGTGGGCATAACCGACTGGACTTAGTCTGATATTTGCTTTCGTGTGATGTATATGTGCGTTATAAAGTCTGTCACACAAGAGAGAGTTGTTTGTATTAAACGCAAAATTATTATTTTGAGAAAACACGGATATAGGATCAAATATGAGAATGGCTCTAAGATATACAATTAAAATAATATCTTACATTGAAGGTCTATGAGAGCAACCGTGTGTTGGAAATCAGTGCGTATATTAATATATTTTGTTAACCAATCGGTGTATCAATCTTTTTCAACACTTGTAGAACTTAATCATCAGGGAAAAATGTATGTTAGCTAACTTTTAACACTTTTCTTTGACTTGTAGTTTAAGAAGAACAAAAAACACGCCAGAAATATCAATTGCATGTTTGTGCGTTTTGTCATTAACAAGGATAACACAGCGGGCGATAAACCAATTTTCGTTCTGTAAACCAATTTTCATCGCGCGATGAGAGAGCGATTTTAACTTCGGGTGAAATTATGGCGATACGCCGTTGTATACACGAATTCCCGGTGTTCTCGTTTGCGCTGTCTCTTTTTTCCTTTCGCCATCCTTGCGTGATGACGTTTCCTCCGAAAGACAGATAAACTCTCGACGACGCGAGATATCGCAGTCGCGTGATTTTTTGCTGTCAAAGGTAACGTTGTAACTGTTCGAGTATTGCTTCTGCGCTTGCTCAACGTACCTCGAAAATGCTGCTTATCGACGATAATGTTGGTCGAGCGCGACTCGGAAATAAATATACACTGGACATGTTTGAGGCTGGTGTCTGATTGTAGCCATACCGAATTACCACGTATAAATTTCCTCTTTGCGTTATACGGATTGAACTAAATTAGTTCCTTCATATACTATCTTTTCTGTCTCTCTTTTTCTCACACACACACACACACACATTTGTATTTAATAGAACAGATTAGCAAGATATATTGAAAGCTTCACGAAAAGGGCTATTGTAAGCTTATTCTACACACGGCGCGATTAGTATCTTCCACTTGAGTTTTGAATGATCTCTTGTATTTGATATATTTCGATCACACATGTAATCAAAATCCTAGCTATCTCCGCTTACAGTCAAATTTACTGTCTCTCTCTTCCTCTCATGTTTTTGTTTTCCTGTAAAAGATATATGTCTACAGTATTATTCTGATTGTCTACAGTATTATTCTGATTCATTTTCAGGTCAAATTTACAACGCGTTTCCATTTACGGCTACAGCAGTTCGAGCGAGAAGGTTCTTAATGGCGTTCGGTACTTTGTACGACCTTCGTCCTTAATACCGCTTTAAACAATAGCGCAGCTAATCAGGGTGCAGAGAAAGGTAGACCTGGATAAAAGATATGCCTAACCGTAAGGAACGACCCTCTGCCGAGAACATATACCTACGTGTACCGTGGATTTTGCGTACGGACCGGTACGGCACAGCAATATCTGCCATATGGCAACGGCCTGGGGCGGCATGGCTCACCGTTCCTCATCCCTTCAGTGAACTTTTGAGAACTTGACGAGGTACGTACGAATCGAAGTACCACGCATCCGTGGAACCTCCCCCATCACTCCCCGCCCGCCTGCTCACCCCTAGGAAAACGATTCTGCAAAAACGTGCCGGCACGAGATCGCGCACGTGAGTCATCGATATATCCGCCGAACGCGCTGTGCCACCGTCGTTCCCACGACGATGTTCTCTCTCTCTCTCTCTCTCTCTCTTTCTCTCTGTGGAAGAAACATTGACGTCTGGTACCCTTCCCTGTGGAGAACGAAGATTAACTTTGAGTCATTCGGGCGGAAAGGTCTCCATGTTATTCTGCTTGGAGCGTCACACGTGATGCTGTCCGGAGACGGTGGCGACTCTCGGAAGATAGGGTCTTTGGAAGTGTATCATCATCATGGTAAAATAATTTGAGATATATTGTTGGAATGATTTATTGACGCAATCCGTATCGGATACTTCGACAGACGTTACGCGGAAATGGCGAGTAAAATAAACAACGCCCGGCGCTATTCCCGATAACTCTATTTTCACTTTTCGCGAGAAATTTCCAAGTCGAAACGGAAGGAAAAAACCGGACGGTCGTAGGGGAGATAGTGAGTTTGTCTCGCGAAATTACGGGATTGACGTGTTACCGCGAGAAATTATGCAACGCCGGACGCGCGGGCCGTAATCCGGTTTGAATTAATTGAAAAGAGCCGCACGTGTACGCGGGCCGATAGCCATAAATCTGTCGTTCGGCGCGTACGAATCGTGGACGTAGGGCGTGTTTTATCGCGAGCGACAGGCATCGCGGGATAGGTCCTCCGTTAATACGTGACGAATCGCGGGCACGCGTATCGCGATAAATTTCGATTCCGCCGACGCTCGCGACGATTGTGCTCGCGCCTTGTTTGCGGAATGATCGCGATGAGTTTGCCATAATAACAAGTGCGTCATTGTAGGCAGCGGTTGTACAAACTCCGGGGTTGCGTCGAGTGATTCAATGATGAAGAGAAAGAATCTGCTTATACACACATACACACACACACGCGCGCGCGTCTGCGACGAAACTTTCTTTTTTCATTCATAAACGAGACGGCGAGAAAGCGCGCAAATAGGCGATATATTCTTACCTCTTTATCGAACTTTCAGCGGACTATATTTAAACAGAATGCGAGACAATATTAATAGCCTCGTTGATATGTACAGTTAAATTGACGAATGGCACGCCGTTCTAACTGAATTAATTACGATCCTGCGTCACCGTCATTAATTACGCGCTATTGGCGGATTTTCGTTTGCCGTATTAACGAGATCGGCGTAATTACGTCGAATCGACCTGACGACGGAGTGTCTCTTTCTCTCTCGTTCGGTGCCGGCGAACGCTCCGCAATTTCTGCGATGCGCGCCAGTGTCCTTTCTTCTGGTTTCAATCAACACCGAGGATTTATCGTGGCACGAGGGTACGATTCTAGCTGCGCGGCTCATCTGACATGTTCCAGATAACGAGACGCCAACACGCGCGCGTCGTAGAGAGATATGTACGAAGCGTTTGGACGCAAGAGTGAAGTCCGTGATTTTTTCAGGGGGTTGTATCTTCTATCAGGCTGCGTCCTGATCGTTCACTGCCAGTACTAAAAATCTATATTATACGTAACATAAATTTGACGCTTTCCACTTGATGACACAAGTCGACACGAGCATCGCCCTATCTTTTTGTTACTCATCGAGTATAGAACAAAGACAAAATAATACTTGCGTCGATTTCTGTCACTAAATGGGAAGCACCCACTATAGATTTTTAGTAGTGACAGTGAATTTCAGAACGCATCCTAAATCACCGCCTCCGAGAGAGAAAGTGGAAGAAAGAGACGGGGCGCCTGCTTTCTCTCCCTCTCTCTCTCTCGCTCTCCAGCGATCAAGAATCGGACATAAAGAGGCGCCTTAGAGAGTCTGTGAACGTTGTGAACTCGAAAAATTCCTCGGCGGCTCGGTTTATCGTTCCTAACGAGACACGCTATCATCGCGAATTTAATATCGCGGATAACCGCTCGCCCGCTCGCAGTAAACGGCCTTTGACCCGGGTACCCACACAGGTATATACGCCGGCGTTGTAAGAGGTGGAATTTAAAGGGATTCAGCGGTTATGCATTCTGGGAAGGTGTGCACTGCGAAATGCAGCCGCGGTGCCGATGGATATTGGATGTGGATGATGGGGTAGCCACGCCGGGGTACGCGCACGGAGCGGCTGTGGGGTAGCAAAGCTAAGCCAGTAATGCAATAACTTGAATAGAGGAGCACGCAGGCGGAAAGAACATAACCTACCCCTCCGAACCTCCCTTTCGCCGTCTCTCCTCTCTTTCTATCATTTCTCCCCCCCTCCCCCCTCTCTCGTTCTCTCTTCGAAGCACATGGGTACATACGAATCTGCGCACGTATAACTACTGGCACGGTGCACGAAACGTGGCTCGAGGGTGGCTGCGGGGGTCTTCGCGCTGACTGAGAAGGTACCCCCGCGTACAGTCGGTCACGTTAAAAGGCTTTTAGTACTCACTCGTTCGCCGTTATTGAATCCCGCGGAGTGGCGAGGGCTGACTAATAACTGAGGAATCGCACATCGATGCGTTGACTACCTAGGTGCATCATCGCCGTTTCAGCTCGCGAGATGATCGAGGCCGGGTCTCTCGCGGAGCAGGTTGGAGAGGATCGGGTGCTCATGCTGAAAACGACCAAACGCCGATCGTTACGGATGAGAGATAAGGACACGTGCATTACGTCAATATCGCGCTACGTTGTTATTGTCGGCCGGTTCGCAAAATCGTAATGACGCAATGGCTTCTCCGGGAACCGGCCACGGTAAGGTCGGAACGCTACGGCGGACCGCGGATTTGCCTCGCAGCCGACCGTGAGACCACTTTAGCGCTCGCTGAAATTCGACGTACGTTACGTCGCCGTATTACAAAGACTGGCTAATGAAACTTCGAATTAGTGACGCGATTGACTGTACCTGTACCGCAGGAGGGTGATCCCGAGTTAAACTCGGCGACTTGGACGGAGAGGGGGGGG